GTCCTCTTCTGCTAACAACTTCTTAGTGGTTTCTTAGTGGATTTTTTTTGGAATTGACACTCTGATAGTGGATTTGGCACTTTAACAAAAAAACCCAGTGCTAAATTTTGATGCAAAAAATATGTTTGTTTCCCTTCGAGTCAATGTTTTTTCAAGCCCAAGTTTTAGTTGAAAAATGCCCAGGTTGAAAGTCGCTTTAGGTTAGAAATGGTTTTTTTTTGGTCAGGCCAAGAAAAAGTGTCTTGTCAGCCTGTGCCCATATTGAGCTTGCGGAAGGCAAGGTACATTACTAGTACATTACTAGTACACTACTAGTACTGTACTAGTACAGTACTAGTACATTACTAGTACAGTACTAGAACATTACTAGTAATGTACTAGTACATTACTAGTAATGTACTAGTACATTACTAGTAATGTACTAGTACATTACTAGTACTGTACTAGTACATTACTAGTATAGTACTAGTACATTACTAGTACATTACTGGTATAGTACTAGTACACTACTAGTACTGTACTAGTACATTACTAGTATAGTACTAGTACATTACTAGTACATTACAAGCACATTACTAGTACACTACTAATACTGTACTAGTACATTACTAGTACTGTACTTGTACATTACTAGTATGGTACTAGTACATTACTAGTACTGTACTAGTACATTACTAGTATAGTACTAGTACATTACTAGTACATTACAAGCACATTACTAGTACACTACTAGTACTGTACTAGTACAGTACTAGTACATTACTAGTACTGTACTGGTTTGTGGTGTGCGTGCAATTCTTAATTATGCATACATGCGTCGCGCCTCGTATAGAGGTTTGTGCAATAATTTGGAAAAATTGGTTTCCTTAAAATTACACCGCCACTAGTATGACTAGTATTGAAAGCGCGACGTAAAACCAGTATTGTATGAACGACAAAATTCAATTGATGCCAACTCAAATCGGGATTTCTGGGAACCTCGTCTCGCGTACTATATCATTAACATTACCCAAAAATGAGGCATTTTAACTTCTAAAATTTAAAATATATAAAATTATATACACAAGCTTGTAATTTATATTTCAAAAATCTTTTCTTAAAAAGTTTTGTATAAGAGGATGATATTTCAAAAATCTATTTTTTTTTTTCATGTAATATATCAAGCTCATAATGTTAAATGTGGAGAACTTATTTAATTTTGAGTTGACTTAAAAGTTGACATTGTCGGAGTCCCACATTTAGTTTGAAAAAAAAAATAATAAATTTGTCCCAAAATAATTTTTTTTTTTTTTTTTCAAAAAAGGATTTCGGAAATTTTCACAGAAATATTAGAAACACAAAATAAAAAATTAAGAACTCTTCAGATTCTTATGTAAATTAAAATTTTTAGATTGTATCAGTTTAACTAAAACGTTCTTACTGGTGAGTTTCTGCTTTCTGGCTTAAAATTTTTTAAATTTTATTTTATGGTTTGTTTTTTAAAGTAGCGAATCAACTATTGGCAAGCGTAAAACGAATAACTGGATTTCATTTTAATTTTAGTTTTGCTATAATGTTGGATTATTGATTTTTTTCCTGGGACTATTTTGCGACATTTTAATGCTTCTGGACTTTCTGACCATTCTAATCACTTCTATCTACTTCTATCAGGGTGGGACGGGTACATTAAAATTTGACTCTTTAACCACTATGAATGATTTTTCTTAAATTGACAGACAAACAAGCAAATTTCAGTTCATAATTCCACCATTAGAAAATCGACTGCAAATCCCGTCCCTGATAATAACATGACAACTCGACGTCCCACTTTACTTGCCATGACATGCTCGAGAATTTGTTGTCGGCAATTAGCTGCGGTTTTGTCAAAAGTAGCGAGATTATAAATGAATGTGTTTCGAGCGAAAGCTGCAGCCGAGGGATTTTCAGCAGGAAAAAGCGTTGAATAAATTAAAGCGTCACCATTCAAAATGTAAAGATCAAACATCGCGCTCGGCGCCGCCAGAAAGGCTCCAGAAAGACGGTTTTGCTTCAATACCGCTTACACACAAACGCACTCTTCTCGATTTTTTTTTATTATGAATTGCAGCTCTTTCCGAGTGGATTATAACGAACTGGCTGAAAAAAAACCCGCCTCCTTTGTATAGCGAGAGAATGCGAATTTCAGCAGGAACTGTTCACAGTAATTGTACGCGGCGTGCGCACGCCGAGGGCAAATATTTTCTTTGTTGTATTGCACGAAATATGCTTTCCCACTTTTCCTGATGCTTTTTCATATCGAAAGTCCCGAATTAAACCGGGCTAGAAAGGAAAAGAAGCCATTATATCCATCGGGGCAGATTCCCCGAAGCACGTGGATCAGACACGCGTACGTATTTGTTATAAAAAGATAAAAAAAATATCCGGCGGCGCTAGTTTGGGCGCCTTTGAGCAGGCGCTTCTCTCTACCGGAGAAATGAGAGATCCCATCTTGTGTACCATCTTTTGCTATAGTAAAGCTGCTCCATTTTATGATCGCCATAAAGTGAGTAGTGAAACCAACTGCCTATGCCTATACGCTCTTTATGCCAATAAAAAATATACGACACCAATGTTCTCTTATTTTTGTGCGTTTAAGGGAGGCGGCCACGACGGGCGAGGAGCCACTTGGGCCGGTGGGATTTCCTCCTCCCCGGTGCTCGTGTGTGTCAAAACGGTAATCCCGCCGAATGGGCTAAATTTACAATTGTGAAGTGGAGCGTGATTGAGCATTTCCGCGTAATCGGTCCGACTATATCCTGCATCTACCTCGGCAAGGCGGGGATTTAGTGAGGAAGTTTGTTCGTGGAAAGCTGCTTTTGTTCCTAATTTGCCAAAGCTCACGATGATACGGAAAAGAAGGAAGTTTGAAAATCATTGTTTTCCACGCATTGTTACATATTTTATAGAAATAGTCCCATTACCTGTTTAATTTTGTTTTTATTACTTAATTTTCAGTATACAGAATGGTAATAAAATATGGTATTTTTATTTAGTTTACCATTTTCCAATTTAATAGTAGGGATATATTTTTTTTAGAAAAGTTTCATTTTAAAATTTAGAATTGCAAAATGTAAATTTATTTTTAACAATAAAATAAAATTAATTTCTTGATGATAGTTCTGCTGAAAAATGCACTTAAGTTTATGTAAAAACACAAACATGCAAGAAATATATTAGAAATAAAATTGTACAAGAACAAAACTTTAAAAACGTCTCAATTAATCCAGTTTTAAAATCGCACATTGACAAAATTATAGGCCAATGCATAATGATAATTTGAATCATTTGATGCGATTAATTGTGCCTAATTAGGAAAAATCTTGTTCACTGATTCAAAATATCAAAAGTTTGAGCCGAGTTTTCAGAACTTAAAAGCACCAAGACTGCTCTCTGACCAGAGCAAACCAACTTTGACAGATAAAGTGAGTATGCAACCTGCGCATCACTCCAGTATGTCCAGTATCGACAGGTGGTCTACTTTTTCATTTCTCACCACACTCTACACACAGAATATTAAAATTTACCACCGCTTGGCTTTGACTATGATTGCGGAACTAAATCTTGAAGATTTCAATCAACTTTGGAGTCGGCTCCAATTTCGAATAAAAAAATCATTAAAAAATAGATTTCCGGTGACTAAATTATTTTAAAACTTTTTTAAAATTTAAAACCTTATTCAGTTCTTAAATTTATATTCAGTCAAAACGGAAATCTTAAAGAATTATATTTCTAGTTAAGTTGTCTACCATTAGATAGAATTAACGCCCTTGGAGCGATTATAGAATTGGCGGGATTTTATACTCTCAATTGGCTGAAAATATATTTTAACAGTTGAATTTGATAATTTTATTTTCGATGTCGATGGCTGTATGAACATTCATCACACCAATCTGGTCTTCTTCAATTCAATTTGAAGATTATGGATTATATATGCTATATGCTGTGAAATGCGGCATTTCCCTACGCCCTGCCAGGCCCACCTGTCGCAAAACCTGTGAGCAGTGGCAGGAAAAATAAAAGAAATAAAACTTATTTATAGATAAAAAAAAAAAACAAAAAACTAATTCAACCGTGGGCTATAGCTGCGGAGGATAATTATGAGGTCGTTTTTATGTTGAAAGTTAAAGAGAAATTTTAATTTTTCTTCTTTCTGACTCTATAAAATTATCCCTTATTCACTTCAATGGGTCCATTCCTTCCGAGTGCTCATCAACTTGCAGAAGATATAAAACCCACGCGTGTGCTTTCCCTCACGGTCCGATGGCTGCATCTGACGTTTGTTCCCAGGTGACAAGTTTGATGTGTCAATCTGTTGTCGAGGCCAAAACCATCACAACCGCACGCTCCGTTTTGCTATAGTTGCCACACAGAGAGATGCAAAAAGTACCATACCGAGGTTTACATATATTGTTTGTCATTATTATTTATGCATATATGCAAGTATTATATTCCGTCCGCAGTTACAGTACAAATAATAAAGCCCTGGTGATAATATTTGAGAGCGGCTTCTGCTCAGGTTATGTGATATTAGCCGATGGGGCCCTTTGTAGTCAAACGCAGTCGAATAATCAAGTGCCCGTGGCTGCTGGTTTGTAATAACCGGTCGTGCTCTTATTAGTTGGGCCACGATAAATAAATTCACGTGCGACGCTTGGTATGAAAAGCGCAAGGAAACGAGCAATGAAAACAGAGCCGTGGCTTTATTTTCATGCCCCGCAGATATGTCCAAATTTTATATGCCCCGATCAGATTTCAAGCTCATGAAGTTGGGTGACAGAATTAATGAGCCTCCCGCTAAAAGATACTGAAGGAAGTTCATAAAGGAAATTGTGCACTAAAATTATTTACAAAATAATCTATAAATTAGCTTGGAAAGACAAATTTTAAATCAACCTTCTCTGTATATTTTTTAGTTAAAAAAATAATATTTGAAGTTATTTTATGATTGCTGGTTGAAATGCAACATTCTTGAAAAAGCTGATAAATTTTTTGAAGGAATTTAATTTTTTAGAAAAATCTCCTCCATATTCTATACCACATTTTTGTAAAAAAGCCGTTTACAAAAAGCATTGTGTATCTGAAAAGTTATATGAAAAGACAGATCTATGGATAGAGATATTCAATCAAAAATCAATCTGCAGATTTGTCCTCAGTGGTGGTGTTGACAGGCGCACTTCTGTTCCTGCAAATCCAGTAAAGCTGCCTTGGAGTCAAATGATCCAATGCCTGAGAATAAAAAAATGATTTGTTATTTTTCATGTATTAAGACAATTAGGAGGTAGAAATAAAATTTATATTGAATTTGAACATACATTGTACTTCCTAGCATCTTTGTCAGTCATTGAAACGACATGGTTGAGGTAAAAGTTGGATCCAATCCTCACTGGTTCCATGTAGGATTTGTGCATCTCGGCATGCAATTCTCTCAGGAAAGTGACATTTTGCACTGCCATGTCCAACTCTGATTCGGCCAAAGGCCTTCTAGCCCACTTGGCTGTCTCATCCTGATGTAAAAATATGATTTTTATCTTGATTTGTATTCTACTTAGTTAATTTACTACCCTGATGCGTTCCTCATTTGTGGATGGCATGAGCAGAACAGCCTCTGGCAGTCTGAGATACCTTTTGAGACAATCGGTCAGGGAGGTCGCGTAGCTGGGACAGTTGTCCCTCCTCGCCCTCAAGATCATCAAGTCAAACACCTAAAAGATTGATACATAAATATTTTATTTTAATCAAGAAGATTCTGACCTGAGTGTCAATGGTGTTGACGAGATTGAGTTGGTGATTGTGGACCAGACAGTCTGCAGCGAGACGAGAGTCGTGCATGATTTTCAGCAAAGACTCGCAGGTCAGGATGCGAACAAGGGCCTCGTCCAGACCCAGAGCAATGATGTCAAAGAGGAAAGAGGTCGTTCCATCCGAGAAGTTGATCCAACACAGCCGACCTGAGCGACCCAGCAGCTCACCTTCAAAGGATACACCAACCTCGGAGCAATTCTCAATTCTGGCAATCTGAAAAATAATATAAAAAAAATTATTACATAGCCGTTTATTCTGCTGTGTACAATTCTAAATTTCTAAAGAATGGTCTCATTATTATTTTATAAAATTAGAATTTTTCGATCGTTGAAGAAATTCCATGGCAATTTTTATTTAGAGAGTTAATCAATCAAGATCACTCTTTTTTTGAGGCTCAAATTCTCAATTTGGGGAAAAAGATTGAAAGGTTTTATCAATATATTTTACAATCAGAGTAGAATTTTCGTGTACATTCAGATTAAAGAATTAAAACCTATAAAACCATCACCAATTTTTTTTACTAATTAAATAACTCACTGCTTGCTCAAATTCCTCGTCCTTCTTGTCAATGACCTTGTAGTCCTCAAATTTATTGCGAATTCTTTCAAATTCGGGTCTCATTTTACGATCAGGGTCTACAAAATTAAAATAAAAAATCAGCGTTTCAAATCAAATATTACTATTTCTTACTTGGTTGTCCGATTTCCGGCTGTTGGAACATGTGGGTGAGGTGAGGGTGGCTGGGTCCTTTGCAGGAGGCCAGGCTGCGTCCGACGTCTTTGTCGATCGCCACTGGCAAATTCTCACTCGACTTGTCGACGCTGACTTCAGGAACGAATTTACAAAGAGGATTGAACAAAGATGCACAATTAAGATTTAAGAAGATATCTAAAATTGCATTATAATTACCTACGGACTTGATTTCGCCGGCGAAGAAGTGCGCCTCGTTGGGCAGGCGAGAGCCTGAAGGATGGTAGGTCGCTTCGTCTAGGGTGATGCGCGTCCGATTGCTGTTGTACGTTACGAACAGGCCAGTCACAAAGTGATCGTCCGCCGAATCGAAGAGGTCGATTCGCAGTTTCTCGCCGATTGCAAAATGCGTGTTCATTTCTAATTATATGCGCAGAATACCAAAAGAACAAGAAACAAATAAAAATTTTACTATGACTGACGCATAAGAATGATTCTCTCCATCCCTCCTACCCCTCCCCACCCCTCCCATCGCAACTCCAGACGCAAATTTCCTCACGCAAGCATCACATCACAGGTTTTTGCCTGTTCAAACAGGAAAGAACAAGCACGTGGCACGTCCGCAGTCACCACACCAAACAACAAACTCGCCTAAATTCCATCTTCCTTTTGTTATTTGTTAAATTCCTTTTCCGTTGCTTATTCCATTTCATGGAGGATTCTTATTCCATTGCAATTAATTAAGTAGTTAAGATTTGTATTCTTTTCATTAAAGAAATTAGTTTAATATATTTTTAAAGAAAAAACAAATTTATTTAATTAAAATTTCAACAATATCATTCTCAATAAATTTTTACAACAAAAATATCATAAATAGATAAAATACTGTAGAAAAGTATTTTTTTTTTAATACAATTATTTCCAGTTTTTATTTTTATTTTTAACATATTCCACACGGCAATATCCATCAAATAGTTTCACAGTTTAATTATTATATTATTACATCAAAATTGTTCGGAAACTTGAATTTAACTCTTTATATTCATATTTTCTGTTCAATAACATGAAATAAGAAATAACAAATTTAATTTTGCATATTGTAAATTACACTCTCTAAATTTTATTATTATCTTTTTTTCTCCAAACAAGTCTTCTATGTTTATGTTTTACGATGAGGAAAATGAAAAATAATCAATTAGATACGGTTTTCCAAATAATCTCCCCTCCGTGCAGCTGTTTCGCTTAATTCAAGACAAAACACAGCATGACCCTCAGACCCAGACTTTTCTGCAGAACAAACTTGAATCGTTAGCGTTAATTAAAGCAGCATTAGCGCCTAATTAAATTCGCAGCTGCTAAATTTAATATATCCCGGGGAGACAAATTTTCTTTTGCCGAGTTGTAAAGAAACTCCATAATTCGCAGGCAGAGTAATTTTCTGCCCTTCACAGCAGTTAGAAATTTATCATTTCCGAGCTCCTCATTTAAATCCTCATTGATCAATAACGGCCCGAAATTATTGAGCTTAGATTTTTTATGGATGCATAGCCACATTTTGAGTCTTGATTCCAATTAAAAAATAAGGGTTCGATTAGACAATTCTTGGCATGCAACTTTTTTTATTTTAATAGAGTTTAAGAGGATTTGAACCAATTCTAAAACAAAAAAAAAACAAAAAAATTGTATTCTTTCAATTTCAGGACATTAAGTTTGGAGGTTCATGGCCAAAAACAAAATAATCATATGAAAAAATGACAAGGCTCTCTTTGAATGCCAATAAGAATAAGGAAAGGAGTCGTTGATATTATATGAAGGAAAAAACCTTTTGCTCGGTTTCAAATTTCCATTTTCCGCGGCCAATCAATCGCGAAAGAAGCTCGTTGGTGCGCCTCGGCCGCGGCGTCGAATTGTAAACGAGCGCATTAAAAAGCTTTACACACATACACACTTTCTCACTCGTGAAATTCGCACTACACACAAAAGCCGGAAAGTTTCATTGGCACTTTAACCTTTGTGAAGGAAAAATACGTTTTATGTACGCTTTTATGGTTTGCACGCCGCTTTATTGATCACGTATTCTACATATAGCGACTCTGCGGCGGGTTGCCTACCCTCGGTCGCACACACCCTTATGTAGCTCCTCCATTCGGCCGAGGAGGAAAAAAAATATAAAAACGCGCGCAATATTTTCCGCGAGTTATTTTCGCCAATTTACTCAAAGCGCGGCTCGTGTGTGGCACTTTATGACCAAAGTTTCGGATTGACTTTAAACTTTGCACAGCGACTTTTCACGGCAGTTCTTTTACTGCTAATAATGTCTTGCTGAATTTCATTAGAAGTCGCAGCCTAGCCTAGCTTTTCCAAAACATGCCTGTTCGGTTATTTACTGCTCTGTACTTTTCAATATTTTTTTTGCTCATTTAATATATTGAAAAATTGATATGTGACAAGGAAAACATGGTTAATCTTGGATTTTTTCATCTCAATTCCATTGGAATTTTATTTTATTTAATCTTCTATAATGAAATAATTTGAGAGAGTTTATCCGTTTATGATTTAATATGCAGAAATTTGTAGCTATATTTTACTTATTTAATCTCCAATATTGCCCAATAAATTTCAAATTAATTTTTCCCCTACATCATTAAAATTTTAATTTCATTTGGTATAATCCACAAAATTAGTTCCAATTAATATCCAACACCAAATATTTCATGCAATAATATATTTTCAGAACGGCGAATATTAGAATTCTGAGAATTTCGACAAAATTTTAAGGGGCGAATACGTCAGGGAAGGAATCTGTCCAACCACCGACTGAAAGGGTTGGTATATGTTTGGGGCCTTTTTGGACAGCCAGAGGTCGGAACCACATCAGAGGCTTAATTATCAGCTAACGAAATCATTTGGGTATTTGGGCGGTTGGTCCGAGCAGCTCCATTGAGAGCCCATTAACTCTGATACCCATGAGGGTGCGCAAGCAAGGCCTAATCTAACGGCGGCGCCAAGAGGGAAATACATAAATCTGAGAGCGAACCGGCGAAAGGAGGATTTTCGGCAGCATCATATACACGTCGGCGGCTGATTGATAATTTTGACAGGCTGCAGATCGGCGGGCGTCAGCATAAAATATAAAACGCGCGTCGAGCGCCAACAAAGAGCATCCTTTTCTCCAGCAACGCGCGGTCTGAAATTCCGTGACATCAGCACGCAGCATCAGCATCCGATACCAGGGAAACCGCGGAGGAATGTTCCAGCTTTGGAAAAAATGAGATGCGGAGCTCGTGGGCGGAATCCAATCTCGTTTTCCTCTTTCTTGGGAAGAAGATTTTTCCAGCACGTGAATTTTTTATACTTTTTTTGGGGGGCAAGATATATTTTCTTCCATTAGAATAATAACGGAAAAGGTCCACTCTACTTATATTATGAGGGAAATGGGGTTGTTCGTTTTGAGTTATTGTTTGGGCTGAAAATGTTTAAAAAGATAAATAAAATTAGCTTTGAAATAATAGAGAGGTTTAATTTATGAATAAGACAAAGTTTCCAGCATGAAATAAATTTTATATCCGTTTTCTTTAACTTTAATTGTTAAATTAATGCAAAAGAACAGCATCTTTCAGTTAATAGTTACTTTGCTAGCTTTCATCATTATCAAGTTCTTACACTCAAGGAGTTCATTTCCCAATGGCGACGTGAGAAAAGTGAAACAGCCAAGCACTTTGAATTTCAATTATATACGCCTCTTGTAAATGCAATTATTCGAATTTGTTTAGTACCAGCGGCAACAGAGCATTATTATCAAGGCTCCACAGCAGCTCATTCTCTTGAAAATAAACAAAGCGAAAACTGCAGTAGCGAGTGAGTTTTCATTTTAATAAAAAGCTGCAAGTGAGAGCTCGTTCGTATTTATTGCTTTCATAAAAAGCCCGGCAGCGACTCCGCATAAATACAATTTCCCGCGGAGAGAGAAAGAGAGAAGTGCAGTCTCACAACAACTCTCAGATTTTGCATAATTTTCCTGGAGCGCTGAAAAAAATGCAAATAAAAAGCGCGTGCACTAGTGGTGTCGCCACATTTTTCCATAAAACAGAAACAACTATTATTGTTTATTTCTCCCTTAAAATTTTGAAGAAAATTTTGGTTGAATAAGTGATTTTTTGAGACAGAAAATGGCACCACCAAAACAAGAATTTTGTTAAAACTTTGGAGATCAAAAATGCGTCAACAGAGCGAACATTTATCACTAAAGTTTATTTCAACCTCGCAAAAGAAATATTTTTTGCCAGAAATATGATTCAGCCAAATTTCACATGCACAAATTATGAATGTATTAATTATTTTTAGTAACTTACTTTTTCAGACACAGCCAAAAATTGTTGCGTTTTATTTATTTCTGAACAATTTGTGTGAAACAGCATGATTTTCTGAGCAAATACGGCAGCCCGGTCTAGTGATTTAAATTGCAAAAATATAAATGCGTGTCGTGTGCAGCGAGAAATATAACATTAAATGTTAGAGACGCGAGAAGTTGTGCGCCAGTGGGCCGCGCATATTGTGATGCAAAATGCATGCTGCAAATGCAAATACGCTCTCGTTTCTCACCTAGCACACCCTTTCCTCTCACCAGGGAGATATAGGTACGTCCGTCCGTTGCGCTCGCAGGCAGGTAGCACAGCTCCGCGGGGGACGATAAATCATGCCAATAATAATGCAGCACCACGAGTTGGTTCTGGCGGTGCACCCCGGCTCGGCGGCTCTGCCTTTTCTTTCTCTCTGCCTTTTATTTTAAAAAAAAATTCTATAACCCTAATGGCCGGACCCGAAACGAAAGCCACCCCCGACCGCACACACACACACACCGTCATTATACACACGCCGGCCGTCTCCTTTGCATGAAAAACACAGCGCTCTGAAAAGGAGCGCAAATCCACTCGTTTTCTTCTCGGATGGGTTATGCAAGCAGTCCGCGCAAAATGAAATACAACGCCTCGCAGCCTACCCACTCGGCTAGAAGCCCGGCCGACCGAGGGTGCAAATGAGATTGAGCCACTCTGTGTGTGTTTTGTGGCCGCCGATTTTCCTCCTCGGCAAGAACACGGTGCTGAAAATAGCGTTGAGAGGTCGGTTTTCCAGAAGCTGTAAGAAATCAATCAAATTTTGTAAATTTCACAAATAAATCAAATAAAAATGTTTAAAACTATTAATTTTTCAAACTTCGCGTTTCAAAAATACATATTATGAATTTATCAAACATAATTTTACTGTCAACTCTCAGAATTAAATACAAAATAATTATGTGCAAATTTGATTTCTTAATGGAAACCCAATTATGCTCCTGAATCATTTGCATAATTAAGGACTCATTATTAGCATTAAACTTCAGTCAAACCAAGTAATTACAACAATAGAAGTCAACTTTTGCGATTGTTGTAAGACAACTAAAAATTTTAACCTCCATATTGTTGCTAACACATGACTTTGACTTTTTCCAACGAGGAGTCCAAATTTCAAATCAAACATCGTGTATTAATTCATTTTGAATAGCTTTAATTTAATTATTTAATAATCTCAATATTGTGCGTTAAATTTCAATTTATTTATTTAAAAAGGTCTTTTTGATAGATGACGTTTGTAATGTTTACAAAAAAATTTAATAAGCAAAATTATTAAATAACAGTAGTAAAAAAATTACTTTGAAAACGACAAGTTTCATTGTTCTTTATCATTTTATTAAAAAAAATCGTTTTTCTCATTTCTCAGTAATTTTATTTGAAAAATATCCATAATTATTCTTCGCAATCAATAAATGATGTTACACCCGCTGCGAATTTAAATTTAAACTTAATATGTAGATTTTATTCCTCGTCATTAAAGTGAACATCAACAGATGTTCGAATCAATTCAAGTACGCTGCCAGCACAAATTAATTACAGTTCATTAATTTGAGAGCAAAGTTTGCTCTTCGTCGTTCCGTTCGCTCTGCATTATATTATGTGATCTGATCATCTTGATCAATCATTGTCGCCTTACATTCACATCGTTAGAAGAGAATTACTATTGTCGCGTTCGTTCAGACAGCGCGCACTGAAGGGAATAAGATTTTTGTGCGCACAAAGCACTTTTTGTCTCATTTCTCGGAGAAAAGTTATTGCCGTCTCGGCTTGAACAATTGATTTTCCTATCGTGCTGCTGTGACAAACGGCTAACGTAGCCAGAAAGTTTTAATCGATCACATCAATTACAGTTAGTCCTTACGTGTAAAATATTCCCAGAACTTTAAATTCATTTGCATCCGAGATGAAATTAATTCAACTAGTTGTAAAAGTACACTGGAAAAAACGCAAAAGTTTTTCTGCTCCGCATTAAACGGCCACACTCGAATAAGCCAAGTGATTATGGTTCGTTTGGTCTGATTTACGATCCGAGGTAATTTATACGGCTGAAATCTGGTTCTCTCTCTCACCTGCTCTGCTAACTAAGTTAGCTGCGCCCCAGATAAAAAAAAACAAACACCCACGTGTGCCTCGCAAGAAAGTTTAATAAAAAGGCAAGGAGAGTCAAAGGTGTATATTTGCAAGTAACAGCACACAATAATGGCTCCCATATGAGCTATAAGACCCGGCTCTCGTGACGGATTGCTGCTTCTGGACCGCTTTTTCGCTGGCGCGGCGCCTTTCCCTTCGCGCCACACTATTTTTCCGGCGCGCACTGCCACACTCGCACCTTTGCTTTAATATGTATGCGAGTGCGAGGCGCCAGGTGCTTTTGCCAAGACCAAATGGCCAAAAGAATTCTACCGTGTCGCGTCTTTTATTTCCTGCAAACTTTGCTCTCTTACATTCTCCTGAGCGAGGAAGATTCAAGAAGTACACTTTTGAAGTTAGAGCACTATTTCATTATTCTTTTCTTTTTAAATAATTATAATCATTCGGGAATATTTTGGTTCAACATTTTTTTATAAATTAATACAAAACTTTAAATTAATAATATTGATTAATTTACTTTTTGTAACAAAGAATAGTTGCAAATTGTGTTTATTGATCTATCACAAAGGCAATTGCTGCCCATAACGGGATACATCATTTATACATTCAAAATTATACAAGTTAATATAATTGAGAGAAAAGATGATAATTTTACATACAAATTTTTGCAATAACAAAATAATATTTACAATAAAAGAGCAACAACTGTTGGCATGGAGACTAAATTATTGGACAAAAAGTCACCCCTAGAAGCAATGTTTTTATTATAACTTTGGAGATAAAAATGACCCCATTCACCGCATTAAGCCTTATTGTTGATTTGTTTCTGCGGTGAGATTTGGATTGTCAGTTTTGGGTAAAAAATCTGATGATGTTTTCAAAACAGCTCACGATTTTTGGTCTATGTCCTTGACAAGAAAATAAATCAGCAAATTTTAAAAAGTTTCTTCCAGAATTGAACTAAAATGATGTGTTTCATATTAAAAGTTGAAACAAAACTTAAACTGAACTTTTGCCCAGCGTGTATTGTAATTAAAAAATTGATGATTTGTAAATTTACATGGCTAATTTACTAATTTCTCCAACTAAATTATAAGATAATTATGTCAAATCCACATAATTCTGTATACAAATAAAACTATCTGTTATCACAAAAGTATTTTGACGCGCTAAGCCGATTTTAATACCAATATTCTAGCTCAAAAATAGCCTTGACTATATTTAAAATAAAATCGTACGAGTGTAATATTTTTATTGAAATTTCATACTACCAAAATTTCATTTACTTTAAAAGAGCTGCAGTATTTATCTGAAAATACAAGTGTTTTTTGGTTCAATATTTTTTATTCACTTACTCTTTTGGGTCCAATTTAACTAATTTATTTATTTATCTCAATTCTCACATTATCTTTGTAATTTTTAAATTCTGCTCACATTTTATATTTCATTAAAAAAAATCCATTCTTGCGATTCAATTAAATGTCTAGTGAGTTTCTACTTTCCAAGAGAACAGTCTTTTGTTAGGTGTATAGAGCTTGCTTGAGCCATTTCAATTTGTCTGGCTCGACTGTGCTTTTGTTCGGCAAAAACGAGTGCGGCTGAAAATAGGAAGCGCACCTTCTACTTCTTCTCGTTTGCTCTGGCTATGCACTCGAGAACACAAACACGGTCCGTGTCGGGAAACAAGGTATAGCGCAGAGAAACATCCCCGATGTGTGTGTGCTTTTATTTCATCACACACGCCGAGTCGAGGAGCTTGTTGGAGACAAAATGCGTGTGGCCGCAATGCGACAAGAGATGCTTTACCTTTGGCTCGCCGGCAGTTGCTTCTGCACAACCGTATAGCTATGCTTTGGCATGATAGCAGCACATCCAGCTAAATGGAGCACCTCCTCACCTTTTGCGCTCGCAAGATATTATCTGGCTGTCTACCTGCCTGCCAGCCACCCTAATTAAATATAATACGTGCGCCACCCACAAGTGCACCCCGACTTAATTGAATTCAGAACCAACCCTCCTGTCACTATGTTGAGCCTTCGTTCCTTTCTTACTGGTTAATTTGCTCCTTACTGACACACGTGTCTTAAAGGGGGATTTTCACTAGCCGCAGCATTCATATTAAGGCGGGGTAATTTTGTCGAGAATATTTTAATCGAATATTAAATAATTTTGGTGGAGAAGCAAAAATACTAAAGGTGATTCAATAAAATTTCTGGCAAAAATTAAAACTTTTTATTTTTTTGATATTTAATAAGCTTTATTTATATACTAAAATAAAACATTTTTGTAAATAAATGAAATAAACAATTTTATAGAATATTCAATTTTTTTTTAAACTTACAGGAATTAAATTTTTTTGAATAAATAAGATCCTTATAAAAATGTAAGTAAAAAATGGTGCTCCAATCATCTCAATCAATGTGCAGAATCATGAATTAAGTGCTTGCAAATAAAGCTAAAAAGGTGTAAGGTGTTGTGCAAAAAGCTGAATCAAAATCAGATCTGATTAAATTTTATTTGATATATTCACTCTGCTCTATGATAATCTTCCACATTCTCATATTAATAATATCATTAAAATTGTGACGTGTGCTTTAAAAAATGTGCAAAAATCCGTCGGTGGGAAATCATTCGGTGCGATTCGCAGTAAAAGTGTGATTTCAAAATCACCGTCCCAAAAGCAGTGCTGTTTCCCTGTGCGACTTAAACGTACCTGCAATAAATTAAAATACCCGTTAATTATAAATTCAAATTAAAAAGCCACATTAAATATTTGATTATTGTTTTGAACAAAAAATTGGGTGAAAAATTAGATAAAATTAATAAAATTCCTTTTCTTTAAGTTTGGCAGTGTCACTAGTGGAAATATCGCTCCAGCTACCAAAAGTTCCGATGGACAACACACCTCTCAGCAGAGACGAAAGTTCATTTTCGGAGGACGCGTGGTGGAATTTCTCCTTGCTCACTCCACTCATTATGGACAAAACGCGCGATTTCATTCCGCAGAAAATGATCAAGCGCTCTTGCTTGTTGAAATCCCTCACAATCGATTCCAAACCCTAACAAAATAAAAATTTATATAAAAAAGGGAGATTGATTTGTAAAAAAAAAAACAGCTTTTCAAGTCCCGATAATTGGTATGAAGGGGTCGGATCAGAGGGAAATGAACATTTCCAACCTGAGCCGCCGTAAAATCAAGCTTCTGGATATTCCTGCAGTCGATGACAACAGGCAAATGCGTCATCCTTTCATTGCTTTCCATGTCCTCGAGCGCCGACTGAATTTGCGTGCGCACATAGTCGGCGGCTGGAAATAGGAGTCCCTGCGTGGGTGTCGCCAAAATGTACTCAGGCCCACACGCGCTCTGCAAATTAATTCGATTTGTTTTTGGCAAAAGAGAGGTTTAAAACAGCGACGCGTGTGTGTACCGAAATTGTGTCAATTTTCACTTTCGGCCGAGCGTTGGTGAAGAGCAGAAAGGCAATGTCGACGGCGGCGCCAATCACAAGGCCCATTTCCATTCCCAGGGCGAGACACGCGACGAAAGCGACCGCAAACGAGAGAAGATCCTTTTCTGCCCAAATTACAAAGTGGAAAATTACTAAAATACATAAATTCTGATTTCCCATGGGTATATAGCAAGCTAGAAAGTTGATTCTATCGCTTGATTAAAAAAATTGTTAAAATTCCTATTTTTTTTTCTTAAACTCAGGCTGATGTATTTTTTAGTCGAGGAGAAAATAATAATTATTTAAAAAAATAATTACTAAAACACCCACTCATAATGTTACACAAAGCTACATTAAATTTTTCAATTTTTGTTTTCTTGGGAATTTATTTTATTAAATTGATATAAAACTATTAATTGAAATATAGTTAAATATATTCAAGCCTTATAATTTATTTAATTTTGTATATTTCAAACAATTTTTCCAATGAATTGCCAAAAGACTAATTCAATTTGAGGTAAAATAAATTAACTCACTGTTTGTTCGCCACATCGGGCCAATTTTGTCGACCTCGACCATGAAAATAACTGCACACATGATAACAGCGGCGAGCGTAGCTCTCGGAATAAAGTAGAAGTACGGGGTGAGCAAGGTGAGTGAAAGAATCACCATTGCACCTGTCGCATAGCGGAAATTTTGATGATTTATTAGAAATTCGATGTGGATAGAAAATATATTAAAAAAAAAAAACCTGTGTAAAGTCCGGCCAAAGGGCTTCGGACTCCGCTGGCGTTGCTCACCGCACTTCTGGAAAATGAGCCCATCGCTGGCATTGAGCTGACGAAGGAGCCGGCGATGTTGCAAAGACCCAAAGCAACCATTTCTTGTGTCGCATCAAGCATTTTCCCACTTGCTATATTTTCAATTAAATTAATATATACAAAGTAATGCAAAGTAATGCAAAGTTCATTAAAATTTTTCTTCATAGACAAAAAATAAATCAAAGATTTAATTAATTTCCTCCGATATGCAAATTTTATTACTCTGATTAAAAATAAAAACATGTAAAATTAAAAGTTAAGAGTTTTACTTCTCACGAACGTCCTAGTAAATATATTATTAGTATTTTTGCGTTGCTTTTCCACATTTTCCAGAGATTTTTTATTTAATGTTTTATTAAAATTTGAGCCTTTTTAAACCAAAAGTCACTTTCCAGCAACTTTTATTTAAGATGAATTTAAAAAATTTATTATACCAACCAAAAGCTTTTCCGATCGCTACATTAGCGATGATTGCAACAACAGGGACCACTATCACCCCCGATTTAAGTTCTCCAACCATTTCCAAAATGTTCAAGGTTCTATTATTGACCTCAGCAGTTAGAGCTGGAATCTGAAAGGGTGGCAGTCCAGCCTGAACCGTGCCTATGTTAAATTTGTTTTTTTAAATTTATTTTAACAGCAATTTTTTTTTCAATACCTGTTAGCATGAATGGAACAAATCCATCGTGGTAAACGTGGAAATAATACGCGATTCCCATCGAAACGAGAACTATAAGAGCATTTCTTGCAGTGCAAAAAAACCAAACAAATTTGCTGATAAAAGTTTGGCAGCAGTTCAGGGGTTTTCTTCCGTCACCAATTTTGAAATGATCTTTGAAAAACTGAAAAATGTAATAATTTGAATCTATTTTGGGTAAAAATTTTAAAATTTCCAACCTTTAAAGAGAGGAGAAAGACGCAGCAACAGCCTCCGAGAACAGCGTCCCACAATTTAGTTTCGTGAATATGGTTGTAAACCTCGGTCCAGATGTGCGCGAACGACTCGGCATCAAATTTTAAGCCAAGCAGACCCTTGACTTGAGCACTGGCCACCATAAACGCCGCAGCAGACGTGAATCCCGCAACCACCGGCGCGGAAATAAAATCCACCAAGAAACCTGCGAATTTTTTAACTCGGAATAATTCAATAATGTAAAAAAATTTTGTTTGTATTTTAATATTAAAAGAAACCATAATATCAAGAGTATAGTGCAATTTTGATGTCAGAAGCGACGCAAATAATGCAAATTTATGATACAATAAATTTTCCGCCGTTTTCCTATATCTGGAGCGACGGAATGCAATTTAATCTTTTGTTATTGCCTGGTGTCAGAGAGAGATAAATTAATTGACCTTTTGGCAAATAAAAGGTCTTCTTGATATAATAACACATTCACTTTTAAACACACGTTTCTTTTGACAAAGAACACAATTTGCATCTAAAAGGAATTATTGCTCAATCGCAGCTGAAACAACCATCACGCGACGACACAAAATAGAAGTTCTCGCGCGTACCTGAATATTATGAATATTTACCTAAGTGTAAAATGCCAAATAGAAGCTCCATGCAACCAGCTACAAAACACAAAAGTACGGCAAATTGAGGTCCCAGGTGGTGCGTGTAGTTGTATGTGAGAAGTGCCAAGAGGGCCGCGGGTCCCATGTTTACCTCTTTCACCGAGCCGAACACAATATAAATGAAACTGCCCAAGAACGCAGAATAAAGTCCGTACTGAAATTGAAATATCTAATTATATAATTTTTCATATTGATTGTATTTATTTGAATTAATAAAAAGTTCATCACTGAAAATTAATTTAATTAATATTTTTTGCGTACTTGTGGCTCGAGTCCTGCTAAGGTTGCGTAGCCCATTGACTGCGGAATAAGAGTAAGGCCGACGGTGAATCCCGCGATGAGGTCAGGGAAAATGTCCCTGAGAGGGTATCTGGGCAACCAGTGCGTCACTGGAACCCTTTTGTAGAGCGTCCGGAGGCAGCTTTTGGAGCAACGCGCCATCCGACTGCCGACGGTGGGCTTCCGATGGCCGGACACTCCGTACGACTTTGGCATTTCCTGCGCCCTTTTTTACCAATTAACACTAATTATTTCCTACGGTAATTATAACTTTTTAAATTCTATTAAACCCACTTTGATTAATTTTTTTTAGCTATAACTTTTTTCAGCATATAAATATTTTTTTTTCTCATAATATGGTAAGTATTTACTACACCTACATGCCAGGCATTTTGCGAATTCTCCGTCCAAATATTCCCTCGTTTTTACCTCTATATATGCAGAATATTTGTTTGGGAGCCTCTCTTTGCAGTGGGTAGAATCAACCTGACAGTTCTGGCGGTGGACGAGTGCACACTACTATCACTGATAAAGTTCTTCCTCCTACACCGCCTGCCATATAGTATGGTGAATACATTTATTAAGACACACGCAAACACACTGCCACACAAAAGCAGAGCTCCCAGCTACCAACTGGGTAATTGGAATAATGTGTCGCTATCAACGCAGGGGTTCTAATTTTGTATGGAGTCCTCTGGGTGCAGCACATCCATGACCATGCACAAAATAAAAATTAGGTTGCCTGTTGTAAAAAGAAGTGCGTAGAATCGTCCAGAGCTTAACATTTTCAGAAATATAGGTCAAGTTAATTAATTCAAACAAAATAAATTGTATGTTAAAAAATAATATTTATTTTGTACACATTAGAAATTAAAAATTTTCTTAAAATACAATTTATTTTAAGTCTCCGGCTCTCTGCAGTTACATTCAGGTAAAATTTTCTTAAAAATAAACATTGTCTTGTGATAAAATAAATATTTTGGAAACCGATCTAGATAAGAATTCTAGTTCTTTTCTATTGTTAACAGTCCATTTTTGGTAAAAAAAATTCACTTTTTATGCATAAATTCACTTTTTACTTGTCTGCTTCGAGTTAATCAGACAGGCAGTTTCTCGGGTGTCCAAACCTGCTCGGTTGGCATTGAAGAGCATGACGAGGTGTCGCCATCGCCAACACTGCAGCTCGGTCCCACTTCTTCATTATCGTCTGGAAAAGAAGTTGCATTTACTGATAACAAACGGCAAGACAAACTTTCAATTTCAAACACAAACCAGCTGATAAAAGATGCTCCAAAGTGGTTTCACACTTGAACAGTTCAATGTCTTTGCCATCGAATGACACAAAAGAGTCGGTTATCATTTTGTTCCAGTTCCAGAAACAAATAGCATGATTTTTTAATCTCAAATCGTCAAGCAAGGATTTCAAAACCTTAAATAAAAAAAAAAAAATCAGATATTTAATTATTGAAGTTTCCAAAAAGGAGTATTCCTCAATTTGTGACCTTCCAGTTTCAACAGTGAATTATTTTAAAGAAAGTTGAATAATTAAAAATTGAGATTAAAATGAATTAAAACAAGAATATGAAAATTTTCATTAAAAAAAATTATTAAAAAGCAGCCCCAGACTATTTCCAATTCAATCAATTTCTTTTCTATTTAAAATAATTTCTATTTCTTTAAAATAATTCAATATTTGCAAAATAATGAAAAGTCTCATTACTTTTATTGCTGTAGAATCAATTCCGTTAATTCTCTTTCCATCTATTACAACGAGAACTTCGCATCCCATAAACCTGGACGACTGCTTGTTAACTGCATCCTTCACATATTCCGCAGCTGGATAAGTTATACTCCTGTCAGGTCTGACAAGAATAACTTCCTTGTTTAGTAGCTACAGAGAAAGGAAATTTTAAATATTTAATGAAATCGTTCAAATTTTACAGCTGTCACTATTCATAATGATAAGATTTGCACGTGAACACTTACAGTCGACGTCTCGATAGATAATTTCGGTCTGGCCGCCTCATAGAAAATGAAAAGTACGTTGACCCCGATACCGATTATCATTCCACTGTCTAGTCCCAAGAGCAAAGACGCGATGAAAGTTGCATAAAGGGGAATCAAGTCCAGCTCTGTGAACAATGGGAAGAGATAAGGAAAAAGTACAATGAAATAATATGTGATTACATACTTTTGGATTTCCAAAGAGCCATTGTGACTTCGTGTATTTCAATCATAAATATCACAGCACAAATTACTACGGCGGCCAATGTTGCTTTCGGCATGTACTTCAGAGAAGAGGTCAGCAAACCAAGGCACAGTAGAACAAGGGCACCTAATTTGGTTTAAAATTTTAATTCAATAGGAAAGCCCAAAAATTCAAACCAAGGCAAATAATCTCGTCTACTGACTCTAAAAGATGTTCTTTTTGGGTCATTTGTGTTTTATTTTTCTCATTTTTTGCGATTAGGATAAGCCCTATTTAAATTTACTTTGTGTGCTTACTTTTAGCTTAAAAATTTATCTAAATTTTTAAATTATCATTTGACACTTTTAATTGTGTTAAAAAGATTTAAAATCTTCTAGCTTTATTAGAAAATAATTAAAATTACCAGTATAAAAGCCCCCTAATGGTGTCCGAACACCAGACGCATTGTTCACCGCAGTCCTAGTAAAAGAGCCTGTTGTTGGGAAAGATTGAAAGAACGAGCCAAGAATATTACTCAGCCCAAGAGCAATCATCTCCTGGGTGGCGTCAATTGTCTTCCCGTTAGCTAAAAACCACTTTTTAACAAGAATAAATTTAAGAAATTATCATAAATTACCAAAAGCCTTAGCAATAGCTATGGACTCTAAAACGAGAACAAAAGGAATGATGATCGCTGACGAGAGTTCATTAAATGTTTCAGCTACACTCAGGGTTTCGTTTTGGTAAACCAGGCCAAAATCAGGAAGTGTAAAGTGAGGAAGGCCTTCCTGGATGTCTCCTAAAAATTTTAGTCATTTGTCAAGTTGGTTCTAAAAAAATTGAAATATTTACTCGCCTGTTATAACAACAGGTGGATCTCCATTTCCCATGATTAGCACAATGATGACGGTGCTGAATAAAACGACCAGAGCATTTCTGCTCAGGGACAAGTACTTGATCACACCTTTCCAGATTTTTGTTGAAGTTGTCATTTCAGATCTATTGGCAGGTGGCCTTGCATATTTCGTAATATACTAAAAATTAAACAAATTTTATAATTTTACTAAAAATAATATAATAATTATTTTTATTCAAGTTAAAAATAAAGAAATATGTATAAATTTTTGTAATTTTTTATTATTATATATTTTTTCATTTATAATAATGAAATTTTTTTTTATATAATTATGTGAAAATTATTAAAAGCTAAAAAATATTTATATTCTAATTTATATAATATTTAACACTTAATGCTTTTACAATATTTATTATATAATTAAAATCAAACCTTCATGAAGAGAAGAATGGCGATACAGGTGAAGCCAAGAACTGGATCCCAAATTGTTGTGTTTTGGATGTTTTCAAAAACTTTGATCCAGTACTCGAGGAAAGTGTGACCACCGCCCTTGATTCCGAGGAGAGCTGCAACCTGGCTCGAAGCGATGCTGATAGCACCAGCAGAAGTGAAGCCAATTATCACAGGCATTGATATGAAGTCCACCAAAAAGCCTGAAAATTTCGTTTCAAAATGAAAAATTTAAAAGAAAATTAAAAAAATCCTTTACCAAGCTGGCAAACTCCGAGTAAGAAAATCAAGCAGCCTGACAAAAAACAAATCAGGACTGCAACTTGGGCGCCGAATTTGTCCACATAAGGTTTAACCAGCATGGCAGAAATAGCAGTCGGACCAATCGTTATATCTTTGCAGCTGCCAAAAAAGATGTACACAAAGCAGCCCATGAACGCTGCGTACAGTCCATACTGAAAAATAATTTCGTTTTTATTAAAAATGTTTATTATTTAATAAATAATTTAAAATAATACCTGTGGTTCTAAGCCTGCTATGACCGCACATGCCATTCCTTGTGGGATGACTGTGAGTCCGACGGTGAGTCCGGCAAGCAGGTCAGCCACGAAGCAGCTCGAGTCGTACGTTCTGGCCCATTTTAAAATGGGCAGCCTCTTCGTCAACAGAGACTGCATTTTGTTTTTTCTCAACCACCCGCTGTTTTTATTATCATCTGCTGGCGCATTCGGCTTCACCGCTGAAAAACATAAATGAATTAGTTATTTTAAAAATTAAAATGTAAAAAAAAAATCATAAATGCAGCTGTTGGAATGACACGGACATACCAAAGCATTTTAAATAATCGTCATTTATATAAAAACTGAGGCATACAGAGAGCGGTCCTAAGTGAAGTAAAACGCCTCCCGCAGAGTGCCGTGAGTCGTTTCACATGACAATACAGAGCATTGTCCTATTTTTGCCTTTTTTGAACCCAGTGTTTACACTTTGTTTTGATCCGGAGCGACGCCAGAGACCGTCTGGCGCCGAGCGCCGCGGGTTGCTGAAAGTTCAGGGATCTCCCGGTAGATGTTGAAAGCAGGCAGAGACTGGCCGAGACAATTTATACGTATCTCTGTACAGTCCGTAAATTTTTAATAATAAATATTTTTATTTATCTTTAGATTTTACAGCCTTGAACTTGAAACCTGTGAATGCTTTCTGTACTCATCTGTAATTGCGCTTATCTTTTACTTATCAAAATTTAAAGAGCTAATTTTGTCAATAATCGTCTCAAACGAACAAATAAGTAATAAATATAAGGACGAATGATGGAATAGTACAGCAGAATTGCTATTTAATTAATACTTTATGTGTGCTGCGAAACTGCGCTCTTAATTGATAAAAATTTATGTCACGTTTATGTGAGCAACTCGTGAGATTTTATTGCATTAAATTAATTAAGTGTACATATGTGTAACAAACACACATTCATTTCATGGAGATTAACGCTCCTCTTCAAATATTTGATTTATAAATCGCCGCGACCTCACAAAGTCAATGTGCGCGTGGTATGAACACAAATTTAATAAATTTTTTCGTATTAAATGTAAAAAGCTGAATTTGGTTTGGTTTAATGAAAGTTTATTTAGTTCGAAAACTAATACAATTAGTCAATTACATACATTTTATAGAAAATTCAAATCACGTGTAAGAATAACTATAAAAACATACATTATAAAAGAAAAAAAATATATATAATATTAATTTTTAAATTGGAATAAGTTTTTAATTTGCGTTCAAGGGACAAAAATGAACCATTTTATTATTTCTTTTGCACTGAAAAAAAAAAACAGAAAGTTTCCATCTGCATTATCTACACTTTTATAAAATGGTTTTTTTAAAGTTTGACAAATTTTTATGATTCATTGCGATCTATCGATAGAGGGGCTTTCCTGACTAAAGATAAAAATTTATCTTGCAGCATTTTGGCTGGCACGTTTTGATAAAAGCAGATAAAAGTATACGTTGAAATAATACGAGCAGAAGATATGGTTAATAACATTGATTCTGCTTTTTGATATTAAAAGGCCAATAGATTTACGCAGCGCATTTAATAAAAGAATAAAAGCGTAGATTGATTTTAATTGGTTTAAGATAAAAAAAAAAAATAGCATAGCGTCAAAGAAAAAACTAAAAAGAAATAAGAATATCTAAAACAACTGTATGTAATTTTAATTTAATTAAATTAAAAATAAATCGGTGGGAAAAGTACTACTTTTAATAATTATTTAAAAATAAAATTAATGATAAAATAGCACCACTATAAGCGGCTCCTTACTATTTTTATGGCTAAAGGGGCCGTAAATGCATATGACAGGGCAATCATAATGTAATATTTGTAAAGGGGAATTGAGTGGAATGTAAAAATAAATTGATGCATTCATCCAGCATTTCCAGCAAATCAATGTTTCCCTCCCAACAATAAAACAATAGAGTGACATAATATGTAAAAAAAGGCAACAATAAAAAAAAAACACGAAATTCTACAAATTCTGACTGCTACTGTTTGATTGAAATTTCAAAAAAGAGAAACCTTTTCTCTAATTAATTGTTTGAAATTAAAATCATGAATTCAATTAGGCAAAAATTTGTATAACTGAATGATAAAATATGCAGCATGAAAATTCGGGATCGCAAAAAAATCACGCCTTGAATGCCTGATCGATAAGCAAAAACGAATTAATTACCCGTGAGCTGCATGGCGGTGTAGGTGGCTGTCGGGACTGGCATGTTTGTGGCTCCGGCCGCCGCTTAAGAGTGTCTATCCCTCCCAGCAGGTGTGTATTGTAATCTGTGGGCGGTCGAGTGAATTTGCATGCCTAGTCACAAAAGCAGTCGCGCGACGACGAGATCACTAAAAACAATGCGCGGCGAATTCAAGTTCAGACTAGACTTTTGTGACCCCCTTCCTTCCTTTTAAAAGAAAACCTTTTTTGTCGCGAGCACGCGGTCGCGGAAGGTGAGGATTTCAAATACCTGCAGCGTCTCTGGGTCACGGTGGTGGTGTTTTTGTCGCGGCGTCGTTGGCCTTCGTAAACGATACACGTGATCGCACTATTAACGCGGTGCTAACTTTTCGCAAACAATTTTCGAACGCATTTCATTAGCGAAATTTTGACGTCTCTCTTTTTGAAGCTATTCCTTTTCTCGGACGCGTGTATAATGTGTGCACTGAGCTCCGTGTTTTTCGAGAAGATTATTTTTCAGAACAGCGTTTGCACTCTGGTGAGATCGAAAGGGCCTCGCTTATCTCGTCCCTTCAACATGTCATTTCGTATAAATGAAGTGTCAACAACTTTTTGCTCTGCATGGCGTTTCCAAGCAGACGCTTTATATTGATCGATTCTTATTTCTTTAGATATAAAGGGTTCTTCCAAATCAAAGGCTCATAAAAATCATTCATGACTTTAAATAAAAATATCAATATCATTATTTTTGACATTTATAAAATAAATAAATCACATGGCTCAAAATTTTTGGTGAATCTCTAGAAAATATAAAATATAGCAGCAGTATTTTAATTTAAAGATTATCTTGTAAATTTAATTTGGTAATCTACATGTTTTTTTCTTTCATTACTAATAAGTGAGTTTTTTTTCGTTTGCTTACTGTGTCTGCAATAATTGACGTTGAATCAAGCAAAATGGAATATTTTATTTAATTTTCTACCCATATATTTAAAAAATTTATATTTTTAAATTATAATAGTAAAGAATCATAGAGTGCTTACCATCAATCATGCAAAATTTGTTTAAAAACCTAAAATTTAACTATAAAAAAATCCTAAAGTTTATTAAAAGGCTCTACAGTTTTTAATTTCAAATTTTTTTCACTCAATTGTAACATTTTAAGTGCTAATAAATATACTCAAAATCAGAAACACTGTTTTTCGCCGATTCCAAATCACAGCTATCCCCTAATTCTGCCGAGGAGACAAACAGGTCGGCGTTCTTGCGATCAAAATTGACAAACTGGTCCCTCACTGAGTTTCTCCAGTTCACGTACAAGGTTTTCTTCCCTTTTGACTCAAAGTCTTTACGCAAAGCCTTGAGGGTCTAAAATATATTTTAATAAATAATTTTGGTGATTTTTGACATTTTGAGCTAACCTGGATTGAAGTTGTGTCCAGCACGTGGATGAACGATCCATCAATCACAATAACATCTAATTTGACGAGCTCGGCACTTATGATTATGCGTTCTTTCAAAAACTCGATGTTGGGGTAGCAGATGTTTTTATCAGGCACCACCAGCAATGCGTGTCCAATGTCAGGTAGCTTAAAATATAACAGATAATTTATTCAGTTTTGTGAATTCACAGATCTTATTTAAACTAAAAAAATCATTATTACAATAGCTTTTATGATAAAAATAAGTACATTTTTTACTCTAAATTAATAATTATATATAAAAATATAAATTTCTTTCATTATATTTTATATATTTAAAAAAAGTTATATTGTAAATAGTCTTGCCGATTGCATTTTCACTTTTTTAAATTACAATATTAATTTTAAAATTATAAAATAATCCGCAAGGAAAATTTAGAAGATATAATGACCTTATAATATAATGTAAACTACCTAATTTGATGAGAAGTTGGATTTTTACTAGTGACTTTTTGAATTTCTTTTATGTTATTTATGAATTTTCACATCAACAGAAATTAACTTTAGCAGTAATTAGCAACATTAGCATAACAGATTATGAGACTGCAAAGATCGCCAAACTTTAGTTCAATGAGAGCATTAAAAAAATAATATTTAATCACAATCACATTATTTTGCATATTAATGAAATTCTTATTAAAATAAAAAACAAATCGACCTTAACATATCATTATAGATTTACATAATAAAGACCAAATGATTCTAAATTTACGAGAAATTATCAACCGTGCAATATATCTGAACAAAAGTGCTTATTTGATTTGAACACAAAAACAAAACACGTTTATTTTTTTTATAAAATGATAAAAAAATTGTGCATTTAATCCCACTCACCTTGATCGATTTTATAATCAACTTAGGCCTGGCTGTTGGGTAAATGATAAACACCAGGTCAACTAAAATGCCGCATACAATGGAAAAGGTCAAATTGATGAACAATCCGGCCAAGAAACTGGCATAGAGGGGAATCAGATCTCTTCCTGCAAATTACAGTTGAAAATAATTGGCTCTGCCAGATTTATGTCTTTAATTACGGTTGCTTCTGTAGCAGTCTCTCGTAACCTGAGGGACTTTGAAGAAGTAAATCAGTGACGTGATGATCACTGCCGACAGGGTGGACGTCGGGATGTAAGTGAGATAGTCGGTCAAGACACCCAGCACGACCAGCATGATGGCGCCTTGAATTTTTGTTATTCTCTTTTATTCTTTCCGCGAAGAGTTTTGTTTCTTTTTCACCTGTGTAAATGCTACTAATGGGTGATCTGACACCAGACGCGACATTCACGGCTGCTCTGACAAATGAGGCGGAAACAGGAATTGACTGCATGAGTGAGCCGAGTGTGTTGCTGAGACCTAAAGCCAGCGATTCTTGTGTTGTGTCGATCGTTTTCCCGTCGGCTTTGTGGAAAAATAAAATACAAATTTGAAACATAAGAAGCAGCGGGAATGCATTTAATTGCAAATTGTGTTTATTGAATTATGTCCATAAAATAATCCATCAATTTCTTATTGTTCAAATTTTAGCAAAAGTTAAGATTAGTTAAATGTGACCCTCTTGTATGAGTTTCTTAGAAAATTTAAAACAAAATAAAAATTTATTCAAAATACTTAAAAGTTGGATGCGATCAATAAATTTGAATCTCCATAATACTTTAAAAAGCTCTTTATATGTATATATTAATTTTATATTTTTGTTCCAAATATTTAAATAATTATAAGCCAGAAAGCTGATCTTCAAAAAAGGGTAATTTAATTCATAAGTTAATTTTTTTATAAACAATCATATCTTAAAAAATTCTAATGCAGCAATAGCATAAAAGTAAACAATTGGAATTCATAAAAACTATTAAACACAAAAAGTAAATATGTAAAATAGATCTGAATTTTGTCATTCTAAAAATAATAATAAAAAAGAGTATTTTTGTTAAATCATTAATAATGTTAAATTGCGTAATTTTTATATAATTCTTTTGTAACAAATTTTGTAATAAATAAAATATTCAATTTTTTTTATAGATCCTTACCGAAAGCTTTTGAAACGGAAATGTATTCCAGCAGCAGAATCATGGGCACAACGATGAGCGCTGACGAAAGTTCATTCAGTGTTTCACCGAATGTAAGGGTCGTGTTGCCGTTTTGCAGTTGGAAATGTGGCAGTCGAAAGGGCGGAAAGCCCTGTTCAATTTCCGCTGTTAATCAAAAAATTAATTAGATTTTTTCGCTCAGATGCTCACACGTACCTGGCGTTCCCACAGGAGATTCACCAGTGGTTGCAATCATGATTGCGACGAAAGCAATGCTCCCTACCATCACCAGAACGTTCCGCGTGAGGGCAAAGTACTTGAGGAAAGTGTGCCACCATCGCACTTCACCGCCTTTCTTTTTAGATTTTTCCGCAAGTTCTCCCAGTTGCTGGAAAATAACGGCAAATGTTTTTATACAACTTGATATAAAAAAAACACTTTAATGAAAATAAGAAAATGTTATGCAACCTGCTTAACTTGGAAGCGTGGCAGGTGGAATATTTATAAGAAATAAAATATTCAATGAAACAGTGAAACGTCAATGAGGTGATCTTCTTTTTTAATTTATTGAAAATTACTTAAAAATGTCAAATTCAATTTAAAGTCATCTAGATGAATGTTATGCAAAAATGAGACCTCATTAAAAAAATAATAAAACCACAATTGAACAAAAATTGACTTTTCAATGTTTTAATTTTTCGAATTTTGTTTTAGCGATTTAAATTTATTATGCATTCGACTGGGAAAAATAAATAATATTTATAAATTTATTTAAAAATTTGATCTTCCCCATCCAAATTATGATTAAAAATGTTTCAAGAGGAAAAAAAGAGTTATAAAAAAATATGAATGACCCTCATAGAAAATATTTTCAATTATTTTCAACAAGGTTAAATAAGCCTGGAGCCTGGATTATTTTTTATTTCTAAATTTAGTCTTATTCGAACAAAAATGAATCATAAATTTACCTCTATTGAAAACAGGATAACGATGCACGTGACACCCATTACGAGATCCCACACATTGAATAGGTCAATCCCATTGATGATGTTTTGCACAGTCTGAATCACATTCAAACTGGGCCCAGTTATTCCGACCATAGCCACGATTTGAGTCAGGACAATGTTAAACACGGCGGCCGACATGAATCCCCTTTGCACTGGATAGGAGATGAATTCGACGATGGGAGCTAAATTTGATAAAAAAGAAGCAATTTATTATACGAAGAAGGTCGTTATTGTAATTTTTCATCAGATTTCCGATATGGAAATAAAACAAACCGAGTTGCAAAAGTGCGATCAGCATGACAATAACCCCTGAGAGGAAGGTGATGAGTACGACCGCGTCATGGCCGTACTGGTCGGTGTACGACCTCATAAGCATTGCAACCAACAAAGTTGGAGCAAAGTTGATGGCTTGACACGTGCCAAAGATCGCGTACACAAAGTAGCCGGCGACAGATGAATATAAACCATACTGAAATTATAAATACTATTATATTTGATTTATTACGTAGGGACATTTAAAATAACCTGTTCTCTAACAATATTGATTGGAAAAACCAAGATTATATTATGTAAGATGAGATAACTTTTAATTTTCATAGAATCTCTTCTAAAAATTTTGTATTTTTATCGATAAAGTGGCACTTCAATTCACGGTTCTGAGAAATTGTTAAATAGTTAATAAATGAAAATGTTCTTCAAGCTTTATATTAAAAAATTTTAAATAATCTAATTACTAAAGCTCATGAAATCAATATTCTAAAAGATAAAAAATAAATAGCTTGATTAATATTAATACATGTTTAAATACAAATAATACAAATATTTAAAATAAAATAAATAAGAAATTTAAATATAACAAATCTATAAAAACAAAAGTATTTAATTATATGGTTAAGCTGGTTTTTTATGTTACAATATTTGTTTTTGTGTTTATTTGCTGCAATGTATTGCGTTTTGAAAAAATTAATAATAGTTGAATTTATGAAATTTGTAAAACTTATTGAAAAATTTATCTTAATAAATGTAATTCTTAATTTGCCCCCCAATTGAGAATTTAGGTATAATTCCTGCTACCATTATTAATAAAGATCAAATTTTACTTAACCCACCTGAGGAGGTAATCCAGCAATAATGGCCGCGGCCAGGCATTTGGGAAGTTCAACCAGTCCCACTGTGACCCCGGCCACAACATCGTAAAACGCAGAGACCCACGAGTACGACTGGAGCCAAGATATCACCGGGAATCTCCTTAACCAAAACTGGCTTGACTTGAGCTGCCGTCCCTGCTGTTTGATCCACTCCTTGGCCGCAGTGGGCTTTTCTTCCGATTTAAAATCGTAGAATTCCATGAGATCAGTTCTTTAAAAGATGCCCACGGGCAATTTGAATTGGTTGCAGGAGCTCCTCATATATTCAGTGCACGTCGTTTGCAAACAAATAATAAATGGAAGCGCTATTTTCCATATCTGCGTGCGTGCATGCAAGGGTAAGGGGATTATTATCATTTGCATATTTATCTCGTATCATAAATGGAGAGGCTCACTACAATTTGTGTCAAGAGAGTGGGAAATAATATTAATCCAGATGGTATTTACATTTTCTGCTGATTGTACACAAAAATCGGGTCTTTTGATAAAAAAAAAATTATATATTGAGGTCACTCAAGTTTATAAGCACATCAAAAACTTATTTTGTTGTTATCTTTTTTTACAAAAATGCCCGAAGCAGTGGATTGCCTTCAAAAATTTTCCATTGTTTGTCACATTTGCAAATCGAACAGTTCTTTGATGTTTATTTTGTACAAAACAAAATCTATAATTTCGAAATAAGAAGTCATATATGTTTTCAAATTATGCCCTATGGCGGTTATATGACTTTTGATTACTTCTGAATTAGGCTCTCAACGCTCAAGTGTTATTCAACTTTCCCTTTGGCGATAAGAAAGACAATCAAAACGGTTTTGAATAATCTTATAAGAGCGAAAACATTCAAAGTAAGTAAAATTCAACGAAAACAAATCATGCCGACATTGCTTCGGAATATGTCCTGCAATAAATCTCTTATCTGAATTTTGTTTCAATCTGTTTCTTCTTATTAATTGCTCCGATATAAAAAGATTAAATTGAACCTTGATTTTTTTTTACATGAAATTAATCAATGCATATACACTAAATTTTCAATGGCAGCATTACTTAAGTGTGAAGTTACAAGATCAGCGTCCATATTCAAATAACATTATCGCAAAACGCGAGTGCAAATTGTTTAAAATTGCTTTATTGTTTTCATCATTAAAAATTGGGCGTATTTCAGGAATTTTAATAAAATTACTTACAAATGTCAATGATGTAAAAATGAACAATGGGAAATATTCTCAGAAAGACATAAAAATAAAATTGTGATTTTAAAATGGAAAATCATTTTTAATTTTCTAAAAATTTTGAAACAGTTTTTGTACCAATTTGACGCTCAATCAAAGTTTTAATCTTATTTTTCACTTTAGTTTTTAATAAAATCACCAAAAATGAGGCGCCTTATTTTAATGGAACAATCAGATTTATTTCCGACCAAGCTTCGCCCACGGCAACGGAATTCAATTTTTGCTGGACTGGAAGGAGCTTCTAACAAAAGGAAGAAGAAAACAGACATCTGATGTCAGGCTGGCTTTTATAATGTACCCCTCGTCGTATATAAATTCTCTTTCTATTTTTGCCTCGCCGCTCTTCAATTAATTTTATTTTCGCAAGTACATAAGAGCATTATCGAATCTGGCCAGTGGTGCTCCGGGGCGCAGAGCCGCGTTCCTCCCTTGGCGACGGGGGATGAAACGAACGAGTTCAGTAGAGTGGCCTTGCGTATCGATCCCGCGGCCTGGCACACTGCGGCCTCATAGTCAGTTGGAGAGCTGAAATGCGCGAGCCAAACCCTACCGCATCAATTGCCTTCAGCAGTGCAAATTTGTTTGATCAGAAACGAGTGCCGCTCTGCCTAATGACCACTTGCAGCCAATCTATCCTAGCCAATTTCAGTCCGCAATCGAAATAATATGATTTTTTTATCTTTTATATTTACACAAAAAGTTTGTTGTCCGATTGCTTTCGATGCTAGCAGGTCACAAAAAAATTTTTTTGTGTCAACAATTATTCCATAGAAACTTACAGGCTGGAGCCGCTAGCCTTGACACAAAAGTTATTGTTTTTGATATGACGGGATGGTGAGAATATTTTGATTTGCTTGCAGATTAATTAATTTTAAAAATTTCTAGTTTCAAGTAATGTTTATTTCTAATCAACAAACAATAATAAATAGTCATTAGAGTACATGTGTGTAAAAAATGCACTACCCCAGAGTTGGTGTTTAAGAATATTAACTCTTTAAAAAATAAATTATTGCAGCAATATTTGAACCAGTATAAGCTGAATGAATGAAATCACATATTAAAAACTGAATTCAAAAGGACTGATCTGGTATAATAAAAGCTGAATTGCGAGGCTAAAATCAAAGACGAAAAAGCCTGTTTTACTAAACATAATTTGATCTGCAGTTTTTTGCCAGGATTAAGAGCAAAAAAAGAACAAAGAAAGCGGAATTCGGAAGTATCAGGCAGTCATCTTAACGCAAGCTTTCAGCATCCAGAAAAAAAATAAATAAAAAGTCCAAAGAACTTGATTATTGTTATTTTTCTTTTGTTTGTATTTTGTAATTGGAAAATTTTGTTTGTGAAATTTTGCATGTAAAATTTTTTTGTAAAATTCTCATCTTTTCTCTCAATTGTATTGAATTTGTATAATTTTGAATGTATAAATGATGTATCCCGTTATGGGCAGCAATTGCCTGTGTGATATATCAATAAACACAATTTGCAACTAAAATATTCTATTATTTATACTAAACGGGTTTTAGTTTCTACTGAAGCCCTTAATAAATAATTAAATTGTTTGGGATATTAATTACATTTCATGCGATAGGACACTATTGTCATGTGAATTAGTAATTAGCATGCTTTAAATTTCTTTTCTTGCTCAATTTCAACAGTCAAATTAAAATTTAAAAAAAAAAATAACTTGATGTTCAAATGTATAAGTAAAAAAAATCATTTTTCTATCTGAAATCTCACATTCAACGAAAAGATTTCTTGCATTATCAAATTTAAAAACTGTTATTGTAAAAGATGATTATTATTTCATTTTTTTTTTCTTATCCTGGTTACTTTCAATCCTTTTTATTTTTGTGGATTATATTTCTCGTCATCATATAAGCTATAATAAAAAATAAAAAACAATTAATTTAAAGTCTGTTGCGCTGCTTGTGACACAGACTTTTATAATCGTTTTGAAAGCATTCATATTATTATTGTTATTATTACTCTTCATTTACTTTTATGAGATGTCGATCGCCACGATGTAATTAATTATTGCGACGCGACCCATTTGCAACATAGTACAAAAAAAGAATAAGAATTTGATGAGAAAAACAACATAGAATCCATATGTACTGAAAAATCAAATAATTCAGTTGGGGAACTTGTTTTTTTACACCATCGATTTTAAGTACCAATTATATATTATATTAAATGTGTAAATGGAACCGCTTCGATAAAAAAGTTTAAAAACAAATCAAAGTTCTTAAATGAGCGTAACTGTAGAGATTGATTCTCTCCGTATAGCAAAAGCCCAGAGTCGGAAGATGTCAAACGATTTCCATTCCAGTGGTTGGCAGGGCAGATTGAACATTGCCATCTCCGTCAGCAGCAGGGGGCAATCCCAGGTGTATCAAGCGCTCTATTGCCGGCCGGTGACTGACGTAAAACCACGTCTTTCTCGGGGCGCACAGGTGCCTGACGTCACTTTATAAAACGTCTCGTTTCTGCGGAAAGCGATGATAAATAAAACAAACACCCTTACCATTTTAATCAAAAACCTATTTTGCTTTTACCGAGAAAGCCCGATTTAGAACTCTGCAATAATAATAAGAATGCATTTTACAAAAATAATACGTGCTGTGACGTAAAGGTCAACGCCACCGGTCGGTTGACAAACATCCGAATGGACCTCTTCTCTTCCTGCTGCGTTAGTGGTGCGTCAAGGTGTCAGGTCAAGGTCGCCGGCATGCCTAGTGTGGCGCCCGCCCGATTCATTGTCAAACCGGATCGTTCGCCTCGGCGACAAATTATATATCGTACGTGGCTTGATTGGGAAGACAAAAAATTACAGCCAAAAGTTTCCTGCTGCCGAATCTCGTCTAGACGGTTGTTGGTCTATTCACGTTGTTTGGGTGCCGCTTTTCATTTACAAAGAGAGAGATTTTGCGCAACAGATAAAGAGTTAAATGGGTTTTGTACAATTCAAAAAGAAAATAATATAATAACTCAAAGTGGAAAAGTACTGAAACATTCATTGAAATAATCAAAGGGAATTTATGAAAACATAATCTCGAGAGCTAAATTCTTAAAGGATACAAAAATATAAAATAAAACAAGAACACAAAGCTGAAAATCTGGACAAATCTAAAACACTGAATTATTAAAGACTACATAACTTTAGAAATTAATAATTTTTACCTTTTTTTATTTTAAATTAATCGGAAAATTTCTCAAAACAATAAAATTACGCGTTTTACATTCAGATCCATTGTTTTGTTGTTTGTGATATTTATTTCGTAAAAATATTTCCCTGATATAATAATTCTCCAATTAATTAATATTCCTTTGATATTCCTTAAATATAAAATTTTTTACTTGACTTTATTATAGTATTATAAAAAATTTGTTCTTTGTTTTGTTTTGGTATCATTCAACTGATTAAGTATAAAATTATAAAAAAATCAGAGGTACTTTGTCATGGATACTTTATTGAAAAAAGAAAAGTTTATAATTAAATTAAATGGCATCAATTTGATTGATCTCCGAGATAATGTAATAATTAATTGAAAAAAATTCTTAATCCAAATGAAGCAGCCACGTTGTATGCGCCCAGGTACTCAACATGATTGTTTTCATAATTTTTTTTTCTCACAAGGCTCAATACAGAGGAGTGGTGTTTATGTAGTTGTCGCCTGGGATAAAATTTATTCATGAAGCGCGCAGGCTGAGAACAATGACAAATGTTGCCATTACACAGCCCAATAGGATGGATATTATCATAAGAGCTGCGCTGCCCCCACGTCAGTATAGGAATAACCTCCAGGATAGTGGAAGAATTCAAAAATTTACCCGCGGGGTGTCCAGAGTGGGGGCCAAATATAAAAGGAAAATGGAAACACGGGCACAAGTTATTTGATTATGGCGCGGTTCGCTGTGGGTTCGAGACCTGCTCTGCCGTGAATGGATTATTGAGGCAGCCAGCGGCGAAAGCACCTCATCTTTGGACGACGAACGTAAAGAGAAGGTAAGCTTTTTGTGTGCGCGTTTACTGCACAAAGGCGAAAAATTCGTCCGCCACGCGCCGCACTAAAGAAAGCGCGCCCTTGATTTTATCGATGTTCACCAGCAGCGTTTTCGGTGCATGTATAAATCTAAATTTGACCGTTGGTGCTCACAGAATTCTCTGTAACTACACAAGGAAAAGCGAAATCTCCATTCTCAAATATTATTATTTTGAGAACAGCAATAATCAGTTACATTTACGTGTGTTGACCTTTAATTAACAAAGAAACGACTTTCAATTAGTTTTAGAATTTAAAATTAAAAGCATATTAAGAATTGTGGTGCTGATTTGCTATTTAATTTGCAGCAGATTTACAATAAGTTTTTATTAAATCTTCATTAGGTTAAAATTAAATTTTTATTTTAAATTAAAAAAATATTAAACTTATTAATTTTTTATTATTTTGTTATCATTTTTAAAAATAGTTTATTTTATTTTACAGCCATAATATAGAAATATTTGACCAACAATTACGACTTTATCAATTTTTTTTTAATATTTATCTAGTCTTGTTGCAATTAACTGCAATTTCAAGTTTTTCAGAAAAGAAATTGTTTATCCCCGTTAGGAGTTGATGATGTCGTGTGTAATTTTTTCGTGATAGAGAAAATCAAAAGCAATTTTTAAAATTTGTAATAATTTGATGCAAAATATTCTTAAAAAGGTAAACGGCGGCCTTTTTCTAAGTATTGACTGTTTTCTTATTTCTTTATTACTGTTTTTTTTTATTATCACTTTATCACCTCGAGTATCCGAGTAAAAACAACGTGGCTGCATCATTTGTCATTTGAATTAAGAATTCCTTTAAATATTACATTTTCTCAGAGATTTCTGATTTTTCTTCTTTATTACCGTTCACAATCCACATTTCTAACTACAAAACTACCATATTAAGAAACATCATTTCATCACTATAGCTCCTCAACTTATTATCTTACATCGCAAACTCACTTATCGTGATCGTTGCACATAAGTTGCTAAATTTCATAGTAAAAATATTCAAAGTAAATTCAAATTAACAAGTTGGCTTTTAGAAGAGACATTCATAGAAGTGAAGAAAAATGGGCTCTATATTAAAATTGAATCTATCTACCAGTTTTAGTCGCACTGCGCCTATGAAATGCCATTTCATTCGCAGGAAAAAACGATTTTTCAACAATAGGACAAAGCGTGTCTTTCTTACTTCAAATTCAATTTTAAACATTGGAAGATCTTGGTGCCTTCATATGAGTGTATGAGCTACTAATATTCAGACCTAAATTTAAAAAAAAAACTGTTCGTCTACACCTTTAGTTTAATAATTAAAATACAAATTTTCAAATAAAACAAGAATTAATTATTAATCGTGAAAAATATATAAAACAGAACATTAGCATTAAAGTTTTAATTTACTTGTAAAGTTTTATCTAATTAATGATATTAAATAAATTATTCCTTTCTTGGATTGTTCAGCTCAACTGAGAAAAACATGTTTAAAATTTTGACTTATTCTTCATATATGTACTTTCCAAAGAGTCTATAAGAAGAATTGACGCACGCCGCTAGGGCATAACAAGCTCGCCCTTTTGCATCTCATTCTCCGGCGCAGAGCAATCAAACGATGTGTAAAAATGCGCGAGGCGAAAAGAAAGATTCGCATTCCCTCATGTCCCAATATTGACTCTGCGTGAAAAAGGAAAAGAGAGCCGACCTTTCTGCGACACAAACGTAGACGGCACGCGGAAGGCGCCTTTTCTCCCTTCTCAAGTGCCGAGTGGCGCCATGACCCAAATTGCAAAATCGGTCCAGCAGCAGCAGCAGCCGAATTCGCCAACTATATCGATCCGTCTGCGCGCGTTCTCGCCGCCTGCGTTTGTTTTCAAACAAACATTAAACTTATTTTTTTTTTGCTCCGGTCGTTCCTGCACGGGTGTCGGTCCAAGGTGTTTCGGCCGCGCAATGTAATTATCAAAAATTAGTGCGAGAAGCCGTTTATTGAGCGGCTGTTCTGCCCGACGACGGTCAATGTCAAGGCCGCGCCGCCGCTTTTATTTGCGTGACACTTTCACTGACAGCTCACAGAGATATTAACTTGTCGAACCTCCAACCGCAAAGTTAAATTATGAAAAAGCGCGACCAATGGCTTTCCCGCATGCAAGGGATAATTAAAAGTTGTAAACCGCAATGTTCAATTCTGCCTGAGCAAAGGATAATTTATTATAAGAAGAATTCATGATTCTCATTTCTGAAGGAGAAAATTAAAAAAAAAAAAAAAAAAAAAAGCAATTTAGGTCCTTGTTAATAAAAAATGGAGCTTCATTCTCTCTCATTTATTATTATCTACTATTGGGATGCTTTAAAATTATATAAATTAAAATAAAAAATAAATAATCATATTTAAACCAATTGGAGTTGCATGTTAAATTAAATAAATATATTTTATATTTGATAAAATATTTAACTATAGCAATTTTATAATTCATTGTATGTAAAAATTCATGGTCCTGAAAATTTAGTTCAATTCTGAATGTCCAAATATTATTGAGAATGAATAAAGAGACATTGAGCTGAACATCATGGAAATTTTTGTATCAAACAAATAACTTAACGAATTTCAAGAAAGCCTCTTTTCACTCCAAGTAAAACTTTTTAAGCATTTTCAATGATTTTCAGATGTTTGTTTTTGCGCAGGAATTGGCGAAGCTTTTAGGTAGCCAAAGTTTCTCAAGGGGAAGCCATCTTTTGCATTGGTATTAATTGACTTAGGAAACTTTGGGAGCTCCGTTCAAGTTTAACTGAAAAAGTTTTGGGCTATACTTGAAAACAGCTTGAAAATATTTATCAGAGAATTAAAATGGAAAGTTTAAAGGCACTGAGACATTTGCAATAAATATCATATTAAAAACAATCTAATCTTTTGTAAATGAAGAGATCGGGCTTTTCCTCGTTGCAGAAAAATTGTTTTTATTTAAAACTTCAGTGATAACGATAACTTTTTCGAGCTATACGCTGCCCCTCACCCCCTACATTAAAGTCTAAAAAAATCAAAATTTGAAAAATCTAGTGTTTGTATTTTAGCTCTTTATGTTTTTGCTGTAAAACTCAAATGTTATTAAAGATTATGATCAAGTCATGCAAATTTTTTTTCCACATATTTTGTTAATAATAGATTGTGTGAATCGTTGTAATAATTGAAGCAGTTCGATTATTCAAATTTTGATTTTGCATTTTTGCCGGTTGCGTGATGCACACCTTTGCATAGCAAATTCCAACACCGGCGTGTGCCCGTTTGCCAGCAGGAGAGAGCACCGGGCGGTTCACATTATTTAATATTGATCATCTCCCTCGAGAACGCCTCGTTGTGGCTCGTTCAGGCATTTCGCAGGATGTGGGAGGAGAGCTTGTTGAATCGGCGTCTTTAATTAACGAATCCAATAAGCAAAATATAAAGAGAGCGAAAATAACTTGACAAAATCGTTGCTAATTCACGGATTTCAATTGTGAAGGTAAATTAATTGGAGCATAAAACGGGAATACAAAGTCGAAGAATATTTTTTAGCAATATGCTGTAAAAAAAATGCACAATTGATATTTTACAATTAGAAAATTGAGGCGTTTTATAATTATAAAAAAATTGCCATATTTTTTCTGCAATAAACCCTTTTGAAAGTGGGTCAAGGGCTTCAAATTGGCGGCATTTATGCAACCCAATCAGCATTTTTAATGTTTTTTTTTTTCAATTATCGTAGCATAAAACTACAAATAATAAAAATACATAAAAATTATTATGGTAAATTAGATAATTTAATTTCATGATGTGCAAATATCAAATTTATTTTGGATTTTTTCGTAATTTAAAAACCAATTTTGACTTTTTGGCCCAACGTTGGGCTGATCGTTATTGTTACGTAAGGAGACGTGGGTCTTGTGGGTCGGGGGGTGGAAACGCATGCGCGCATTACGGGGGTTGGCGGGTGCGTTCTGGTGTTGCCGCAGGTCCTGCCCTGGTCCTGCCGCACCAACGTCAGTCGCAAGTGGCGCGGGGTGGGCGCCGCAAGTGAGAGCAGGGGCGACTACCCCCGGCCTCATGCCTACCAGCACCGACTGCCTCTGCGACAGCCAGGACGGCGGGGGCAGCACCCAGAGCGTGGCCGCCCCCGATGCACCAGCCGACCCCCAAAACAATACCACTGGTAAATTATTATTATTACGTTATTTTGTATTTATTGACTCACTCATAGGTCTGAAAATTTTGTTAAGAATTTAAGTCTTTCAACATAATTTTTTTAACTGGAAACAATAATTTAACTTAAAAAATTTATCCATTGAACTTATTTTTTCATATTTTAAATTTAATTAATATTTCCTTTCGATCACTCTAATATCCGAAAGAATTTTCTCCACACCTTTTTTCTGATGAATAATTTCCACATCTTGCAACATCTTGTTTTTTTTTTTATGTTTACTTTCTGCTTTAAATTTTGCACGTTCTACACAGTTTTTCCTTTCCCGACTTTCTTGGGCTTATTCACCCTCGATCAGAAACTTTTACCCCGAAATCTTGGCCTATACCGCGGCCGCGAACTTTTCTCTTTTCTCGCACAAAAGTCACACTTACACGCATTCCCTCGCTGCAGGGGTTGATCTTGGCCTTTCGCGCCAGCCTATTCCAATAACTGTAAGGCGTGCAGTGGAAAGCGAGTCTGGCAGTCCCAGTTAGGCTGTATCGAGCGGCTTAACCCTCTGCACATTTTCCCTACACTTACCCACACACATCACGCGGGCCAAACAATGCCGGCCGAGCGGCTCTTTCTGTGCGCGCCCCGATCATTGTTTGCGCTTTGTTCAGATGCGCGCCGCCTAAAGTGCTTTGTTTTATTTTCTAACAGTCGTAAAATTTCAGTCGAAATTATTCTTTTTTCGTGGAAAAATTCCTACACATGCATGTTAAATATTTTATTTGCTTCCTCAAAATAGTAAATAATTTTATTATTATTATTTATTCTTCATAATCTATTAATTATTTTTAGGTTATTTGGCACTTTTTGTTTTAAAAATATCATTCCTCTGACAATGAAATCAATAGTTTTATATGAAATTTTTTTATTTAAAAATAATTCTGTTAAAATATGCGACAAATTCATAATCTTTGCTGAAAATTGGAAATTTTTAATTAATTGTAGGTGATTCTCATAATTAGTAAATTAGTATTTATCTGCAATCTAAATTTTAATTTAAAAAAGGGCTGTATAAAAGTAAGCTTTTAAATCCTTTCCTCGTTTTTTCTAATTCTTAGAAAATTTTAGTTCATCAAGTATTTTATTACAATTTATCCACATTAATACGGTGACATTGGGATTTTTGCACGAAATTATTTCATGGCAGGGTTTTGTTGTGCCTCTTTACCCTCATAAATTATATCAAAGAAGAGCTTAACTAACAATACGGCTTTTAATGCCAGGCAATCACGCGATTTTCATCCAAATAAATCCTCATGCTATAGACTTGTCCTGAGTTTATAGTCATGGAATGAAACGGAGATCTATGAAACCAACAATCAAAACGCCTTTTTCAACAAAAATCAGTGAAATCTGAAGAATGTGTTAGCTACAAAAATTTAAAATAAATATCATTACAAGGCTGCAATAGATTACCTTAATTTAAATTAATAGAAAAAGGCAACAAATATATTACTCTGAGAATCACTTTGAATTAATTTCGAGCATAATTTTGCATTCATTTTGTAAATAATGAATTCCTGAGAGCAATTTAAAAAGTGAAAGTCCAGGAAGGATGCGCGGATATAATTCTGAGAAGACAACAAAGGGATCCAAACGCTGCATCTCCCTCCCCACGAGGTCTTCCGCTGGCCACCACATGTGCATAAAAGCAAATTATTCTCACCACCAGCAAAAGAAAAAAAGCGGATTTTCCACTGCTTATTCTAGATCACTTTTGAGTCCCGCAGAAAAGAAATATATTTTGCTATAGTAAATCTTTTGTATGAAGAATAAAATGTCTTTGATGAAACATCTGTAAACCATCTTCATGCAAGCAGGATGTGCGCAGGAGAGAAATGTGACCTGCGGGATTTTTGTAAAGCAAGTTCGAGAACAACCCACCCTCCGGAGGCCGACCAATGAAATAGAACAGAAAATAATAAGTGTGGATTTTGCTAAAGCAGCGTTCTGGATGATTTTGTAAAAAGTACTCACTTGTACTTCAGCAGCCATCGAGTTCACTTCGCTCGCAATTTGTCGCGATTCTCAAGTTTATCAGGAACATACGGAACTAATATCAGTGCGAACTTTTAAAAAAGACGAATTTCTCGGAGATACTATTTCAGTGCTTTTCTCGGGCGTTCTTTCACTCCAATCAAAACATGCAATCAGGAATTACCTCAACCGAGAGCAAATCGTTTTACAATCTGCAACAGCCACCTGAAGTAATATCCGTGCCCTGCAAGCAAGAAAAATTCACACCCGGTTCTACTATTTGTAAGAAAAATAATGGTGTTTTGAATTTATTTCTCCGTTTTATCTTTTACTGTTGTTTTTAATTAAATTGATAATATTAGTGAGGCAGAAATTTATTGTAATTAGCCAAAGGCATGTATTAAAATGAAATTATTGGAGATAAACAGTTTCAAAATATTCAGGTAAACATTTAATTTGATATTTTTATTTGAATAAAATAATTGATACAATTTAATAGCAAAAATTTCTATAATATCTTGGAGCAGAGATTTTTTCAGAAGTTGCGGGACATTAAGTGGGGTTTGAGAGTAATTATTAAATGTATTTTTTTTTTATCAATTTACTTTAGAAAATAATTGTCGCCATTAATTACGCAGTTAGTAACCTCGGTTTTGACGTTTTGAGTCAACGCACAGAATAGAGTCTATATGCGTCGTGTCATTGGACACAGTTTGTCTGGCTCAGCTTCTGAACTTGTAATAATACACCTTGCACCATCACTGGGTCGAGGCACTAATTAAATTTTTCTCTTTGAAAGGGGTGAATTTATTATTAAGTTTTTAACATAGATTAAATATTTCCATGGGTTAACTTTTTCTTAATTAAATTTGCCTTTGTTAATGAGAGGGTTATGGAAACACTGTTCATTTCATGTCAAAATATTTTTGTTTTTTTTTCTTCCATGCCATAAATAACTCATTTTTTTTTTATATGTCATATACAAAAAGATTGCTTACACTTTGGGGGCACGTCGTTGATGCTTTTCATCTCCTCCGACAATAAGGCAGACATGTTGGTCCTAAGGGGGTGTAAGAAGGACCCTTGAATAGCTGCGAGCCTTTTCTCCGCTCTCAAAAGTGTCAACACTTACGTGCTGCTCACAACCCCCGAGCTTCATCTCATTAGCTCGTTCGTACTGCGTGTTTTATTGTTTCAAAAACACAAACTAGCTTGTTTGTGTTTAATCAACATAATGTACTAAAAGTACAATTTAATTAATTGAAAAATATAATTAAAAATTAAAACTTTATTATTTTTAGTAGTTTTTTTTATTAGCACAGGTAGCCAAAATTTGAAAATATGTCTCGTGTAATTTATTTATTTATTTATTATACATTCAGATACAATGAAATACACAATACACAACATCTTACATCAAGTCGATACAAAAATTAAATTAAAACACTGAAAATACGTGTTAAGAATGTTGGTTAGAGTATTTTTAAACATGGTTGTTGAATATTTCAAACTCTGCCTAAACTCCAATAACGATATCATATCTTATCCGAACATATTTTTGCCAGAAATCACAAAATTCCAATTCAATTTTCAATTCCAGTTTGAGGTGTTTTAAAAAATTTGCAAAGAAAATATTTAACTTTGTGTAAAAAAACTAATTTATCACTCAGGGTAGGTTTTTATATTATTAAACAAAAATTGTTGTCTTCATAAATTTTTATGTATCAAAAAAATTAATGAACTTCTTGTTATTTAGACCGTAAAGTAAGAATATGCCAGCAATTATTGATTCTTGATTAATTTAAATTAATTTTATTAATGAAATGGGCTAAAAATAAAAAGTAAACGTGAATTTTGGCTGTTTCAGACGACGGCGACATGATCATCCTGTCCCTGGAAGACGAAAAGAGCCCTCCGGCGAACAGCCGCGAGGACCTGATCGAAGAAAAGCCCGACTCCGTGGACGCGGGCGTGGGCGCGTGGCTGCGGCACCGCCTGCGACGGTCGTGCACCCTGAAGAACGTGCGCCGCAAAGTGCCCTGTCTCGAGTGGGGGTCGCGCTACAACCCGCGGTGGGCCGTGGCCGACCTGCTGGCCGGCATCACCGTCGGCCTCACCGTCATCCCGCAGGCGATCGCCTACGCGAACATCGCCGGCATTTCGCCCGAGTACGGCCTGTACTCGTCGTTCGTCGGCAGTTTCGTGTACGCCGTGTTCGGCAGCTGCAAAGACTCGCCGATCGGGCCGACGGCCATCGCGGCCATCCTCACCAGGGAGAACATCCACGGCCTCGGACCGCAAGTGGCCATTTTTCTCTGTCTCATCAGCGGCGTCGTCGAATTGCTAATGGGCATTTTTCAACTTGGTTAGTATAATTGATTTATTCCGAGTTTTATTCTAAAGTTAAATTTAAATAATGCAAATTTATTTATTGTAAATTTAAGTTTTTTATAATGACAAGATTTTTTTTTTTTTTTTTATATAATTACAATTTTTCATAAGTTATTAATTTATAATTCACTAATTTATATAATTTTTCTAAATACATCTGATATAAAAAAAATGTTTTTATTAAACAGTAAATGTTGTTTTTGTTCGATTAAATATTTAAATAATTCCGCTTCCAATTCAATTAACTATTGTTTACTTATAAGGAAAATGTGCACTTCCATTGCCTCTTTATTTATTAAAATTGAAAATTTAAATGCTAATTAATTGAAAAAAAATAGATATTATTTACAAATTAATATTGCTTCTATACTAACTCATTGTTTAAGTTGTCGGCTATTAAAATTTATAATTTTCGCATGTTTTTGCCGGCAGGGTTTGTGATCGATTTCATATCTGGGCCCGTCTCCGTCGGTTTCACCTCGGCCGCGGCGATCATTATTGCGACCACCCAGGTCAAGGACATCATGGGTTTGCAAATGCCGGGCAGCAAGTTCATAGAGGTGTGGGGACAGATCGTCATGAACGCGGATGACGCCCGGCTCTGCGACACCATGCTCGGAATCATTTGTATTTTCTCCTTGCTGTTACTCAGGGTAAGTGGCCTTTAAGTTTTTCGCCGGAAATTAGTTGATTGATTTTGTTCTTTAAAAAAAATTTTGTAATAAATTGTGTGATAAGCAAATTAATCTTTCATTTTTTTCATTAATTTGCTGATAAAAATCGTTTTTTCTTTACAAAACTGATCAGTTATTTATTTTTTTATTCTCCGTTCGATCTTAATGCAACAAAAGTCATTTATTTTTTTTTTTATTTTTTTTTCTTTTATTAAATTCGTTTTTTTTTTAATAAGAATTTTAATCATAATTAAATCAGCAGTGAACAGTGAATATTTTTTTTTATTTTGTTAGAAATTAAAAGACTTGCGATTCGGCCCATCCGACGTCTCCGAGCAGAATTTCTGGCAGCGGCCTCTGAATCAAGCCGTTTGGCTCGTTTCCACCGCCCGAAACATAATTGTGGTCGTGGCGTGCTCGGCTCTCGCGGCGGTTTTCCACAAGAACGGCTACCACCCCTTCCTCCTCACAGGTACGTTACGTATCCACCCCAATTTGTTGATTGTTATTTTTTACATCACCCCCGATTCTATTTTAATATCTTTTCTTGTGATGTAAAGCGCAAATTTGGGCAACTTGCCACGCAATGATGTCGTGCAGGTTGCCTATGCTTGCGAATGGAAGGCGCTTCTTTCTAATGATTCGTCCCTTGGGAAATCACTTTTTACTTGCCAAAGATATTTTATTCATCTCATTCGATAACCTGATATTTTTATAAAAATTTAAATGTTAACTTAAACATCAAGCCCATCTATTTTAAATTTTGCAAACTCAATTCTTATGTATGACTTTTTCATTAATTTTGGCGCACATTTAGAAAATATGAATTAGAAACGTCTTAAAATTGAAAGCAAATAGCAATGTATCTAGAAAAAATAAAATTTCTCAAAAGAAATGAAAGCTATGGTAAAAATTTAAAATTAATCTTTACACAATATAAATTCTTAAATTACTCCAGCTTATTTTAGCTGATAATGAGAGACTTGTTGATTTGACATTTTCTGTGACATTAAAATTCCCATTGGAGTTGATTTTATTGCAATTTCTCCAGTTCAATCAAATTGTAGGTTGCGTAGAAAATAATAATAAATCAACAAAATAATTTTAAATTTATAAAAATTCAGGTGAAGTAAAATCAGGACTTCCGCCGGTGCAGCCACCCCCGTTGAGCACCACCGTCGGCAACCAGACGTACACTTTTGTGGACATGCTGAGCACCATCGGCTCGGGTTGCTTCGTCGTGCCGCTCTTGGCCATTCTGGAGAACATCGCCATCGCCAAAGCGTTTTGTAAAGCGGAAAATGACTTGTGGTGGCTTATTTTTCTCATTATTCGTGTTCTGCAGCCGACGGCAAAGCGCTGGACGCGACGCAAGAGATGATTGCCCTCGGCTTGTGCAACATCGCCTCTTCCTTTGTGGGCTCGATGCCCGTAACAGGCGCTTTGTCCAGAGGCGCCGTAAATAATGCAAGCGGCGTGATGACCCCGTTCGGCGGCGTCTACACCGGTAAATAAATCCACGCGTTGCAACAATTTTCAAAAAAAAAATTACTTAAATATTTTATGATTGGCAGGCATTTTAGTGATACTCTCCCTGCAGTACTTCACCCCGTACTTCTACTTCATTCCACGCACTACCCTAGCAGCTGTGATAATCGCGGCTGTCATCTTCATGGTTGAATTCCAAGCAGTCAAACCCATGTGGAAGACCAAAAGTAAGTCATCTTTTATTAATTTAATACAATTTTTTTTTAATGTTACCAGCTAATTAATTTAAAATTGTTTATTTAGGAATATAGTTTTTAATTAATATTTTATCCATATTTTTTTTTAATACATTTTTTATATATTATGTAATGTAATAATCATTTATTCACTTACAATTTACAATACAATTTATATATATATATATATATATTTTTTTTTATTAAATTTTCGTAAAAAAAAATTATAAATATATAATAGTCTCCATTCACTTTCTATATAATTAAGTTTTAACCAACAATTTCTTCCCTCTAGTCCTCAATTACAGTATAATATATATTAAATTCATTAATTTCTCATAAAGTTATTAAATATATTTTAATTGGAATATTAAATATTTTTCAAAAATAGAGCTATCTGCTAATTGAAGAAAACTTCTAGTTTATTTGATAGTTGAAATATTTTGCAACACCAGTCATCATACATTCATATAGATACATTGAATATTATTAAACAAAAAGAACTAATTATAAATCTGGTACAATTGGTATAAAATGATCTTAAATAATTTCCATTTAAAGAGAGTGACCTGGTGCCAGCCTTTGCCACTTTCTTCTCCTGCCTGTTGATCAGACTGGAGCTGGGCATCCTAATCGGCATGGTGGTGAACGTTTGCTACTTGTTGTGGGCTTCAGCTCGGCCCAAAGTGGCCGTCGAGCGAATGAAGGTAATTAAATCTTGATGAAAGGAAATTTATGATCCGTCAAAAGATTATAACACTCATGATTTTACTAATAATCTTAAAGATTTACATAAAAAAATAATAATTTCCTCTCGCAGTCGTCTTCGGGATTAGAATACTTGCTAGTGACCCCCGACCGAAGTCTTTCGTTCCCTTCAGTGGAATATGTGCGCGCCCTTGTGCTCAAAGCTGGACTCAAGCTCGGGGACAGCTACTTGCCCGTGGTGGTCGAGTGCAGACACATCCAAGCGGCCGACTACACTTCTGCAGAGGTATTCAATTTATTTCTTTATAAATTTAAAGAAATATCTAAAGTTTAATTTTGGGCCAGGGTGTGAAGCAAATGATCGAAGATTTTCACCGACGGGACCAGCCCATCATGTTTTATCACGTCAAACCCAAGATCGTGAACATCTTTCAAGGAGTTAACCCCAAGGGCTTCAGGTACTGCAATAATGAAGATGAGCTCAACGAAATGCTCAAAGGTAAAAGACACTTTAAATTGATTCTATTTTTAATTTACGTTGGTTCTGTCAAATATATTTTGTCAAAAATAATTGTCATCTTATATGAAACTATAACTTATTTAATTTTTATTTTTCTTAAATTAGAGCTTTTTGGAACGTTATCTTATTTTTTTTTTTCAAATTTCACTTTGCAGTAAAAATACGTTTATTTTATAGTCTTTCAACTAGCTAAATTAACTAAAATTTGAGAAAAATGCGCCTTTTTTTGGATGCAAAATTTATTTTTTTTTTTAAACCAGATATTCATTGATTGTAAGACACACTAATATTAATTACATGATTTTTTCAGAATGTGCAAGTAAAATTTACACCTTCCACCAACGCAATACGCAAGAGGATTCGCTCTCCGCGGTAGATTAATATCTCCTCTCCACTCTCACAAGCCAAAGAGCATCTTTTGTGGAGTATTCAAAACCCCTTATGTATTATTCTTTATTAGAAAAAGTTGCCAAGATATTTTCTATTCAAGAATATTTTAAGCCTCCGCTCTTAAATACAAATTGGCAAATATATGTAAAAGGAAGTGAAATTGATTCAAATTTCAAGAAAAGAGGGACTGCTGAAACCTGTGATGATCTGTGATAAAAAATTAACATCAATATAATTAAACTGTTACCTCCTCTGCTGACCTAGAAAGAAGGAAATCTCAAACTACAAATCCACGCGCAGAATGAAATATCAAGAATTTTTCCAAATATATGCTGAGCTTTTTGTCGTCATGTAGAATTCACCTTAGGCAAAAGTTCTGCTTTCACTCTATAATGCACCACCACCTACTAAGCTAATAAACAAATTCGTCTCCTCAGACACAAATTTCAATTATATATTATACAAAACGTTTTAACGAAAAAAGTTAAAAATTAATGTTGTTAGGAAGGAGAACTCATATTTTCTTTGGAAGAACGAGTCTCATCGAATTGGCAGTGATATTAGATTTTAGTCTAGCCTCATAGTTTTAGTACCGAAAAATTACTAAAAAAATAATCTGATTTTTAATGGTGCTGGAATTAGTGATAAACACCATTTTTAGCATTTTTCAATTTGCGTTGGATTACTTTGAAAATTTTCATCATTCCATGTATATTGCATATTTTTAATTCTGAGACAAAGAGTGAATGAAAATTTAGAAACACACACAGATTGTATTATAGTATTTATTAAAATTTAAAATAAAATCCTGTTAACTTTAAAAATCAATGCCATCAAAATCTTGTTGGTTCATAAATAAATAGCATATAAAACAGTAAAATTGAATTTCATTTCAATTGTTGGAAAGTTTACCAAAGAGCCGTTTCTGCATTTATCCTCCCCCCACTTTTTTATTTTTAAATATTTTAAGTTTTGTTTATTTGATCTTGTATTGATGCATTAAATCAATGTAAGATGCTGTATATTTGGAATGTATTTACAAGAAAATTATTTTAATAAATAAAAAAAGTATATAATGAATAAAATAAATAAATAAAATGAACAACTAAATAATTTAATTATTAAATAATTATTTAACCTAATTTGATTATATGTTATTTACACATACTTTTTGACAAGCTACTACTTTTTTGCTATAAAGGTTTTTGTCAATTATATTCATTCTTTTAATGTTTTACACGCCTTGATTCATTATCGCATCAGCAAGAGTTATGAAAAATTCAAAATTTTAATAAAGCAACAATTAAAAAATATGTGGAAGCAACAATTACTTTTTGTGTCCGAACTGGGCGCTTTGTTGAGGGTGTCGCCATTTTGGGCACTGAAAAACCGTTACACTGAATCTATTGTTGCAACAAACATATTATATCTTGAAGTTTGAAATTTTGCCATTCTTCGATCCAAACTCGTCAAGCGCGGACGCTTCAAGATGGACTTGGTCGCTCTTGTCTCCAGAAAAACACCAAGTGCTGAGCGAGCGTGTAAGTACACATTTTTTATTTTGGGAGGAAGCGATCGAAATTAATTGCACGTCCAAAATTTTACTTCGGCGGCAATTCATTGAATTATTTCAAAGAATTCTTTCAAAGAATTCTTTCAAAGAATTCTTTCAAAAAATCTTTGAAAAAATTAACCGTTTCATAGCAATTAATTCATCAGATTGCGATCGGCTTTTCAAATATTTGCTCAATTATGAGATTAAAGAATGTTCCAAAAGTTGATCTTGATTGAATGAATTTTTGAAAAGCTGATCGCGATTGGACGAATTTGGAAAATTCTTATGCTCTGGCAAGGTTGAACACATCAAATATAAAAAAAAAATTGTGTCGTATCCAAATTTTAAAAACCTTCTGACAATCGCAATCATTTATTCAAAATATTTTTTTTCCGTTTATTTTTTTCAGACGTAGCTTACGTGTCTGAAGATGACTTCCAAGACCTTTTCGTCAGGAATGCAGTGCGGCCCCGAAACCGTCCTTGGCCCTTGGGATGCGTCCAAACCCAACACAAGACGCTCATGATGAGAATCGAAGCCTCGGACAAACTGGACGGGGGAATCAAAATACCTCCATGGGCCGCCAGGTCACTGAACGTATCGACCGGACGAGTCGTAAACATTGATTTGTGGGGGCCCCCTGTGCTCAAGATGGATTTGGTCGTCGTTTTCAAAGGCAGCAACACCGAAAAGGGTGTCTCCAAAGCACTTCACAAGACGTGTGTAGTCAATCAGCAGACCCATGGACCCATGTTGAATACACCCAAAACGGATTAGCTAAATCCCTTCGCGTAGGAAAAGTCACCCCCCGCACCTCTGGAATCGTTACTGAGACAACGATCGTCAAGCTCATCGATGAGCACGAAGATCCTGCTGACGTCTCATCCGATGAATGATAACAAAAGCAAACCCTCCGCATTTCGCTTCACAGTTTTGACTAAAAATTGAAATTTTTCGGAACGCTTTAAAAATTTGAGACCGGAAATTCAAAATCAGACATATTGCAGATTGTAAATAACATTTTTCTACACCCATATATTGAATGTGCCCAACATTGGCTTCGCGCTCGAGCCCCAAATTCTACCCCACGCTCTGCATCTGGACGCGCTTTCCAGACTACGGCCGTATCAAGATCGAGCAAGAAGTTTTTTTATGTTATCATTAAAGCTATATAAAAAGAACTATATATATTTTTTTTATTTTATTCTTTCTAAGTTTTCTAACGGAAAATTATTTCATGTTCACTTTACAATTTAAAAACTTTTGCGTCTTTTGCAACCAAGTCACAGCTACGCTGTTCCAGTTCGCTAGCAAATTGGTACAAAGGGAAAAATTATATTAAAAAGCTCTCTCTTTTCATTTCCACTTAAAAAACACTCATTGTCAAAATGGTAAATTTGAAATTGCCTTTCGGATGAGTACGGGCCAATAGCGGTGGTCAAGTTGGCGTACTAAAAAATTTTAGCATGTAAAATTAATAAATATCTTTGAAATAAATTCCCTTCACCGAGAACTGCGTACTCGATGGTGGCGAAAAACTCGTCGACCTTGAAGAGAGCCATCGGACCTGTTGCTGGAGGTTAGATGACCACCTCCCAGATCGGATCCCAGTCTCGCAAGAAAAGGTGTGAGAAGGCATTTGTACATTTGTGTACATTAAAGAAAAGTACACTTAAGTAGAGAACAAATTTAAAATTAATTAAGATATATTGAAATAAAATTTCCTCACAACTTTGCTATTTGTAATATTTAGAGCGTCAGATCAATATTTTTTCATAACTGCAAAAAAAAATGATTTTTCAATTATTCTAATTGATCGGACAAATAGAGAGTGTGAGTGAGTGAGTGAGTGAGTGAGTGAGTGAGTGAGTGAGTGAGTGAGTGAGTGAGTGAGTGAGTGAGTGAGTGAGTGAGTGAGTGAGTGAGTGAGTGAGTGAGTGAGTGAGTGAGTGAGTGAGTGAGTGACTCTCGCACTCACTATTTCGCTCGCTCTCGCACTCACTCACTCACTATTTCGCTTGCTCTCGCTCTTCTATTTTAATAAATATTCTTTTGATGTAAGCAGCAAATGTGGGCAACTTGCCATGCAGTGATGTCGTGCAATTTGCCTATGCTGGCGACTTGAAGACGCTTCTTACTAATAATTCGACCCTTGGGAAATAACTTTTTACTTTTTAAGCTATCTTATTCTTCTTATTCAATACTCTGATTTGTTTCATCAAAATGTTAATTTCAAGATCGCAAGCACTCGCATAATTTTATTTTGCAAATTCAATACGTTATTATTTAATTATTATTTATATTATTATTGTTTACTATTTTTTAATGAAAAGGTGAAGTAATAATTAATTATTCATTTACAATTTGCAATTTAGCAGTGATATTAGATTTTAGAATAGCCTCGTAGTTTTAGTACCGAAAAACTGTTTAATAAATAATCCGTTTTTTTAATTGGAGCTGGAATTAGTGATAAACACCATTTTTAAATTAATTTATTGAGTTAGCTGTTACTTTTACACACTTTTACAATTTTCATCATTTCACGTTACATTATATAATATGAAATGATGAAAATTATATAATTTATATATTTTTAATTCTGAGACGAAGAGGGAATGAAAATAGTTTTGTATTAAAAAATAAAATCCTGCTAACTTTTAATAATCCATGCCGTCAAAATCTTGTTGGCTCTTACAAATAAATAGAAGAAAAAAAAACAGATCTTTTTTTCATTTTAAAGAAAACCTAAAAATGGTCAAAAGTTTGAAATACCAAATTTGGATAAACAAAATAAATTTTTTACTTATTGCATTCTTGCAGGTTTACTCCTATGTCTTTTTTTTGTACAATTGATTTTTTTTTAGCTATCCCTCTATGTAACCACCGTGATTTAGCAACTTTTCATTAGACCGCCTCTGTATTTATTCTGGCCAGCGCGGAAGTGAAATGATCCAACGTCAATGACTTGCACATTGTGTCACGTTAAAGCCATTTATCCACGAAAGGTGGGTGATCAAGGACGAAGCTTGCTCATTGCCTTTGAACATTTATCACGCAATTTCCAAGAGTGGTAAATTAAGCAAATAAAAATGACAAATTAGAAGTTGAATTTGTACCGCTGAGGTTTATTTCTTTTCATTCCTTTAAATTTAAGGACTTTTTCTATAATAACTTTTTAAATCTCAATAAACTTGGGACGTTCAACGCTTTCTATTTCATACAACATTAATAATAATTACAATATGTGTGATTCGGATAGTAAAAGAAATGATTAATTTAATCATTTGCTTGACGATGAATTGGTCGGACTCGGCGAATATATAATGTGATGGGTGCCCGATTCGGTGACTAGTGCAGGTCTCTAACTCTCGTATAAAGGGTTCTCTTCTTATGTGGACTTATACAAAAGTGCGTGTTGATAATAATTGCCCCTCAGGCCGTCTCCTGCCGCCCTGCAAATTAGATTTCAAAGAGTTGATTATTGCACGGCCAATCCACTTAAGAGGGGGTAATCACTTTTGAGTAGCATGTCCAGGTCGTCTTCCTCGTAAAAGATAACAAAGTCCTTTGGCTGCAGACCCTCGAAAATGGCGACCACGCTCGGCTTCAAGTTGTAGAAAAACAGGGGTTGGTTTCGCGCAGCAAAATCATTAGTCAAACTTTCTACAACCTAAAGGCAAAAATGGAAAATTCAGGTGTTTAAAGTTTGAAGTAATAATAAATGATAGATAATCATCATGTAATGCTTATAGATTAAAATTAATATATATTTCCTCATTTTCATTTATACGATTCTAAGAAATAAAAAAACTTAAATTAAAACATAAAATTAAAAAAATTAAAGTAACATTTTTTCTTTCAAACTTTCTTACAAAAATAAACAAAAATACAACTTGTTAAATATAAAAGTTATTAATAAATAAAATATAAGTGAAAATTAAAGAAAATTTATTATGAACTTAGAAATATTTTGTTTATAAATATGTTAAAAAAATTGAAATATTTTATCTTTATTCAATTACCCGGGCGGCGGTGAAGTCGGCGCCGTAAATGTGCGAGCAGTCGATGACCACCGGAATCATGCCTTGTCTGGTGCCGTGTTTGGTGACCAAGTTTCTCACGTAGTCCACAGAGGGGAAGATCAAACACCTGTCTGGTGTCAGCATTATGTATTCGGCGCCATCGCGGGTCTAGAGGAATTTTAATTGAAAAAAAAATCAAATAAAGAGAAATAAAAATGCCTGATGGCGCATAATATTTCTCATATCAGTCGTGTTTTGATTCAAATGTCGCAAGTCTTAAAGTCTTAAGTGGGGATTAACTTTATTGAGTTGTAAATTAGCACTTGTTTGCTGGTTTCGTAATTGTGATCCCTTTTTAATTCAAGAGCAAACAATGGGGTCGTAAATTATCGATGTGCAATAAAATCATTTGTGAATAACAAGTTTCCTAGTTGGGGCGGTCTTGTTTTTCATCTTTGGTGGAAAACAGCTAGAAATTTCACACGATTGAGATCGGTCAAATATTTGCCAATCGTAAATGCCCCACATTCAACGATTTCTTGATTTTTCACCCGAGTTTCTTTGAAATATTGCAAAATAAATATTATGCACTCTCCGTTTTGAGAAACACGTCTGGATTAATCTGAAGTGTAAATTTTTTGCTCCCGGCGCTTTTGTCTAATCAGTCAAGTGATACTTACAAAGAGCCTCTCCATCGAAATCTTGGGGCGCGCGGCCTGGTAAAGGATGAACAAAATGTTGATACCGACGCCAACAATGATGCCAATTTCCAGCTTGATGCCCAGGCAGAAAATGAATGTTCCCAGGCCAGGGATCAGATCAAGTTCTTTGAAGAACAATAAAATTTGAAAATTGCGCATTTTAATTTGTAAAATAACTCACTTTTGCTGCGGAACATGGGCTTGATTACTCGGACTTCCACCATGAAAATGACTGCAGCGATGATTAATGCGGCGAGGGCAGTTTTAGGGATGTATTGGAAGAATGGGGTGAAGAATAGAAGTGACAAGATGACCAAAAGACCTACAGAAGAAAAGAATTATTTTTATATTAAGGTATTTAAATAAAAATAAATCATCATAAAAAAGCGTTTAATCATTGCAGTTAAAACCAAATCAAGAAAAGCTTAAATATTCTTCTAGTTTGATCGTTTCATTTTGTTAAAATTTAATCGAAATATCTAAATTTAAAGTTATAACTGCATTATTAACCTTATAATGTAATTTCTATTTATTTAATTTCACGTAGAAGTTAATTTTATGCTATTCCAATATTTTCGATCATTTTTAACTCGGATTTAACTAAATTACCAGTGTAAAGTCCTCCCAAGGGGGATCTGACGCCACTGGCATTGTTGACCGCACTTCTGGCCAAAGCTCCGGTTCCAGGGAAGGCTTGGACGAAAGAATTGCCAATGTTGCAGACGCCAATGGCAATCATTTCTTGAGTCGCATCGACAGATTTTCCAGCGGCTAATTTAAAAAAAAAAATTAAAAATCTAAATAATTTTATTTTAAACTATTTTCATACAAAACGCTTTGCAGATGGAAATATTTTCCAGAATGGCGAGGATAGGCAGGACGATAATTCCCGTTCCGAGATTCGAGACAATATCAGAGAAGGAGAAGAAAGTTCCATCTTCGTCGGTGTAGCCGGTGAAGGGAGGAGGTTGAATTGTGGGCAGACCGGCAGGTACGACTCCTAATTTTTTTTTGGACAGAAAAATTTTTGTTTGCTCAGAACGTTGTGTAAAATCAATGCGGGGATTAAGTCGGTTGGTGGCGCGCGAGATAAAGAAGCAAATATTTGAATTGGCGATCAAACACAAATTCTTTTTTGTGGGAAAACATGCTCTGCCTTGGAATGTCGCAAGCAAAAGTAACTAACCTATGAGAACGAACAGATCGTCTTGTATGGCCCAGCCGATGATGCCGGTAATGATCACCAGCGTCGCGTTCCTCGTCGTCGACACCAGCCACAAAAATTTGTTGAACACTTTCTGTCCCATCGTTTTCTTCTCGTCGTCTTTCGGCCCAATTTGGATTGTTCCCACAGCCTGAGAGAGAAAAAAAATATGAAATGAAGTCTTATAATTAGAGGGACTTAATTTTAACAAATATATTTTAATACAATTAAAATTTCCGACTTCTTTGACAATATTAATTTTTTGTGTATTGATTGATGTAAGATGTTGTGTATTTCATGTAACTGAATGGAGAATAAATAAATAAATAAATAAATAAACATGAAACTAAGTAATTTTTTCTATTTTCCAAGTTGGTTCAGTCAAGTGTGCAGTATGGCTCGAAACATACTTTAATAATGGAACTAAATTATGGAATTTAGAAGAAAGTAGTTTTTTTTCTTAATTAAAAATTTGGAGTTTAATTAAAAATAAATATTAATCTAAAATATGATAGAAATCGCCATATTGGGACCCCCGCGTTTCAGCGACTTTTTTGCCAGAGGTTTTGCCATTTCTTCACTTTTTGTAACTTTTAGTCTCTCCTTGACTTCAATAGTGAAGAATAAACAAATTTTGAGGATAGTTAAATTTTGTTCACAATTTGAACAGTGGAGTTGTTTGTAATAATAAAGGCTCTTTCGCAAAAATAAAAACTTTTTTTTAATTTTTCCGGGAGGAAATTTAATTCAAAATTTGCTAAAAAAAAAAATGTAATTCATATCAATTAAGGGCCACAATTAAAATTTGATTTTTGTTAAAAATTAGTTAAAAAGCGCACAGGAATTGTGAGGAAAAAAGTTGAATTTTTAATAATTCTTCTTCAAATTTTCTTGCACCACCAAATCTTGTGAAAAATTTAAAATATATTTTGAGGTATTCCAAATCACGATTAATTAATTAATAATTATAATAAATAAACATTAATTTAAATTTAAAGTGTCATTATGTGTTTCTCTTAAAATTAAAAATATTTTTAATTCATCATCTTGATGTGCTTTTTAAAAAACCAATTATGTTTTGCATTTTATTTAAAAGCGCATCTGACAATGAATATAAGCAACAAAGCGCTTTTTCGCTTCCTCGATCTTAAGAGAAGCGTCTAAGAGAATAATACACATTATATCGTCTTGCATTTCCTGCTGCAAGTATCACATTCATTACTCTATGCAAAACGAACGGTTTTATTGTTTGTTGAACGCCCTACAAATCGATTTTATAATTACATATTTTATTATTTATAGTCCGCACATGCATAAACAGTGACAGCGATATGCCCTGGTGAAAATTAATATGCGAAACAAAAGAGTTTCTCTTTTTAATTGGTCTGGTGGCGCCTGCCAGACTTCTCAGTGAATTAAACGCGGCGCCGAGTCAACTCTCCATTTCCAATCACATGTAATAAAGTTATCAAGAAACTTACCCTGAGGGCGAGCAGAGCGACGATGCAGATGATGCCGAGAAGAGTGTCCGCGAGCCGGACGTGCTCGAAGTTTTCAATGATCGCCGTCCACATTTCGACGAAGGTGTTGCCTTTGACGTATTTGCCGATGCCCAACAGATCTTTGATCTGACTGGTCACGATGATCAGGGCCACGGCCGAAGTGAACCCTGACGATACTGGCCCAGACACAAAATCTATAACAAACCCTGCAAATCCAAACCGAAGTGTTTAATGTGACATGTGATTTTTTTCATTTCATAAATATCAGATTTAATAATGTTGCATATTTTTACAAAAACATAATTAAATAGGAAAATGGTATTTAAATCTTATAATTTTATCTCAAAATTACACATCATTACAGGTGGAAACGTTGAGAGTATTATTTAATTTTAACTACTCTACACACAAACGGAAGACTTTTAATTTTAATTAATATTTATATTTTCATAATAAAATTCGCAGTAAAGCAAACAATGTAAAGTTTATTTGCAGAAATTCCATTAAAAATCACTCCCTAGATAATTAAAATTAAGCTTTAAATTATAAAATAAAAGCTCAAATAAGTCAAACATTGGAAATAATAATCAAATCATTCAATTGAGATGGTTGAAAATCTCAATTATCTCTTGATAAAAATTTTGCTCGGATGCACCCATAAGTTCTTAAAAATAAAAGCTTAAAAGGCGCCACAGTTATACATCAACATGGAATTATATAAAAGATCATGAGCAGATCTTAAGATAGCCTTCACAACAAAAAATAAGATAAAAAAAAATGGCACGCTCAAATAAAAATAATCCAAATCCAAACCGTTGTTTGTGAAATTTTTGATTGGTGATAAGATTGGTGACAAAGCAGAATGGATGACAATTAATTGTGAACCCAATGACTTTTAAAACCTAATGCATTTTTTTAAGGTGAAAATTGTTGGAATAGGTGAATTTAAGTGAAATTTTGTATTTAAATTTTTTTTCTTTTTAGGGTCAAGCCAAGACAAAGTCTTGTCGGCCTGTGCCCTTTATTAGTGGTGCAGAAGGCACCACCCAATTTTTTTTTTTTTTTATCTTTTTTCGGGTTCAACTTTATTTAAAAAATCATCATTTTTTGCTGGCAAATAGGTGGTGAACTAAAAAATTAGTAATTTTAGATGAAAATCGGAGATTTTCAAAAAAATATGTGATTCTACAACATCATTTTAAACGTAAAAAGCTCTTCTATTAAAGTACTCAGTAATTTTTAAATCCTCTATATAGGTAAAAGAGTATTGCTTCCCATCCGTAATTGAATTAAGGCACGAAATTTAAAAGGCAAGAAAACTCACCTAAACCTAGAATGCCCATGAGAAGGATGACACAACCGCTGAGGAAGGTGAGCATGATGGCGTGCTCGGCCCCTTTGTCGCCGACCGCCTGGTAGGTCAGCAGTGAGATGATGGCCGTCGGACCCATCGGCACATCTTTGCAGCTTCCGAAAATGATATACAACAGGGCGCCGAAGAACGATCCATACAGACCGTACTGAAACAAGACCATAATCACGGTAACTTTAAACCTAATTATAATAAATTATCAAATTTCTTTTTTTAGATTTTCATAAATTTCATCTTGAGTATTAAATTTGCCCTTTGTAGCATATTGGCAACAAAATCTTCGAATATTTATTAATTTCATACCTGCGGTGGAAGGCCGGCGATGTTTGCGTACGCCAAGGCCTGCGGAATGACGGTGAGGCCGACCGTGATTCCAGCCACCAGGTCGCCGACCGCGTCCGCAAAGTTGTACTTGGGCAGCCAGCGCAGGATGGGCAGCCGCTTGAACAGCAGTTTTCGCGTGCAGCTCTTTTGGATTTTTTCTTTGGCAATCAGGCTTATTTTACTCGCACTTTCTTTCAACTTCGCTCCTCGCCGCCGCTTATCTTCGTTCACAACTGTGGAAAAGTTCGAACGTTTTATATGTTTCAATAACGTGATATTTTCATTTTTTTTTTAACAGGGCGAAAACAGATTTTGCGTTTTGTTTAGAAAATTTATCAAAAACTGGATCAATTCGTGTTCAATAAAATTAAGAAAATTCAATTTTTGGTTTGATTATTTGAAGCTAAGAAATATTTCTTTTAAATTAATAGAGTGCTTTCTAAAAAAAGGCAATTTTAATTGAAGTTTTAATATTTAAAAAGACAAGAAATTAATTAAAAATTATAAAAACATATTTTTTTTAATACTTCCACTATCAACAATAACAACAAAAATATATACGAAAGGAGGTGCTGAACTTCCCACAAACACCAGGAAATAAGAATTATTTGCATATTCAAAAGTCTCCAGGTTTGCCAAACTATTGAATTGTATTTGATTTGAACCTAATTTTACATTTTACTTTTAGAGTAAATAGGTTATTAAAGCGATTTCTTATTTCTCTCGTCTTAATTTTTAAGTCGTGGCCCTTATTTTGGAATAACCCTTAAAGATTTAGCTGAAGCAAGTTCATTCTAACTGATAAAATGTAAATCAATGAATAATAAAATAAAATAAAATTTGTGTCTTAAACAGTAAAGTAATAACAAAGTGTCAACCAGCGTGAAATTCTTAAATTTAACCATAGTTTATTAAAAACTTAATTGAAATTATTATATCAAGTTAAGTATTCTGTATTCAGAAGACCTAACAACGGTAAAATTTTTTCATCTATAATATCTTAAATAATAATGAATTAGCAAAATTTTCAAGATCAAGATCAACTTTGAAATTTATCCTCAGAGACGAAAGACGAACACGGACTTAATTTAATCAGTGCAAACAATCAATATTAACACCAATGTGCGTGAAATTTTTTATACTTTTATTATGCATACTACTCTAAGCACACAATTAAAAGTTAAACTCATTTAGGCCAATTAATTGTTAAATTTCAACTAATTAAATACATTTATTATTATAAAAAATTTTAATATGTATAAAAACTTATAACTAAATTAATATGATAATATTAAATTTAAAATAATAAATTGTCATCATTTTTTTTTAATTAATTAAACTAAACTTATTGTATATTTTGTTTCACTTTTGACTTACGTATGAAATCTGTGCTGCCCATGGGCTCGGGGATGCAGATGGTGGACGCGGACCCTCCATCGGGAAGGTGCGAGGTCAGGTTGTTGCGACCGTCGCCGTTGGAGCTGTGGTTGTCACTCATCGCCGTCATCAGACACTCGAGCTGCCTCAGCAAATTATTGTTTTCAAATTAGAATAATGCATGGGCAGCCTGCACGCGCGACCTCAAGTGCCGCGCGCGGTGTCTCTTTCGACTATTCCGACTTCGGGCGGTCTTCCGCGTGTTTATAGCGCGGGAGATGAATATCTAATGTGTACGTGATCGTTTAATCGCGAAAACGTTTATCAGGAACAATTGAAAGTTCCTCCGGATTCAGTTGATTGACATCCAATCGAAACCAATAATTATTATCGCGAAAAGTTGGAGTAGCAAAGGATTATTAAAGTTTCTATGGATTAATTCATATCAGTTAAAAAGCAGTACATGGTTAATTAAAAACATTTTTTTAGGTTGTGTGACCTTTGAAATTTTTAATTATTGCAGATAACGTTTGTTTTTATTCATTATCGCACTTGGATTTAGGGCTTAAACTTCATTTAAATTGGAAAATTGTCATCAAAAGGGATTATGGAATTCTTTAATCCTTTTTTTGGAACAAACAGACTTTGTCGATTAAGACTTTTTATCTTTTGACAAATTGGAAGAAAATGAAGATGATACAAAATATTAATTAAAATTTTTTCAAAAAATGCTGGGAGAACCGTTTCAAGGTTGGAGAAACCTCATTTAAAATAAGATAATTTTTGAAATGCAGCGCATCCGGTTTTCTTCCAATTTCACTTAAATATATTTTCCAGGCCAACCGTGATAATTCTTTTTGCGCCTTCCTTTTTCATGATAAAAATAATAAACTGCCCCGAAGGCTGTAATTTGAGTTGTGTGAGGAGGCGGCGCACAAAAATAATTAAACTCGCACAATAAGTGACCTATCGCACTTTCACGCGCATTTTTATCAGAATTCAACAAGCAGCGGGTCAATTGAGACTACTTCTTTCTTTCTATTCATTTTCACGAACGATTAAAAGTCAAAATAATCTACGAGTTTCCTAGAAGACATTTGAGAAATTTTAAAAAAATAATTTTTTCAACGAGTCAGCTGCTATTTGCTTGGTTCTGCGGCGAGGTCAGCGCGAGCACTTGCATCATTATTTACTGGGGAGAGTTTTATCAAATTGTTGAAAAATAACAAACTGTGAATTCGGGATTATCGCAGCCGTGGGCTTGTGTCTTGTTTCTCTTTCATTCGATTGCTTCACGCAGTGCAAGTGTTTCGGCTTGCAAAATTACAGAAAGCCAAGGTGGAAACGAGAAAATAAAAATATGGGAGATTGAAAAATGACAAACACAAACAGAATGTAATTCAGAGGAATTAAATAAAGATATAAAAAAAATTAATTCCAATTTAACCAAATTCGCACTTGGAAGTAAAAATTTTATAACATGAAAAATGCAAAAAGTAAATTGTAAATTGCAGCGAATGAAAATTGTAAAAAATTGAACTAAAAAAATTAAAAAGAAGCTAAAAACATTGTTAAAAAAAAACTGAAATGATGACTGACCTAAAAAAATGACCAGCGGTTCAATTAAAAGGTTGGGGGGGGGGGACAAAATTTGGAGTTTTTAAACGTTCCATAAATTTTTTTCTTAAGTATTGAAAAAAATCTATAAAACTAATATATCTTTTTAATTGAAATTTACACTAAATTTTCAAAAATCATACCTTTCATTGGCTTCTTTCAGTCTCTCAGGTTTATCACAATTTGACACAACGTTTACAAATTAGATTAGACACAGCCGAAAAATGATATTGCGACTTTTTAATCTGTGTAGTGCAGACTGGAAGAAGTGATACTAATATAATGATTAAGCTCTCTGCCGATAATGTCTTATAGATTTTTTTCTTTCAAATTCTAGTATTTTCTGCTATATAAATAAAAACGCATAAATATCCTTGGCCTGATAATGCAAAAATTTGATAGATAAGTGATCAGTTCATCAAGTATTCTCTGTTTGTCCTGAAGATAGGTTTATCAAATTTTTAATTAAAACAACCTGGTTGAGATATTTCTATCGTGATTTTTTTTTTAAATTATCATCCCTTTGTTTTTATATGCTGCAGTTAGCATCAAAGTGATTAATCGATATGTGGCGAAATGATTTAGACCTTGCTCGTGGTATATGATAATTCCTGATAATTTCTTACAGACAATGGACCAAAGACCAAAACGTGATAAACACCTTCGCTGGGGAAGTCCGTAAAACACCTGAACTTTCAAATTACAGGCCTAATCAGTTCATGTGTACCGATTGAATTATTATTTTTTTTAACCCACATAAAAAGAAAGATTAAATAAGTACCGAGAGCTCATTAAAAGATAAGCATGCGATCAAAACAAATTGATTGATTGATGCAAGATTAAACATGGAATGGCAATACTTTTGTACTTACCAACACTGATTAGGAATTACAAGTGTGACCACTGATAAGTGTCTTGGCTGTGCCGGCAGGTCTCCGGGAAAAGTGACCTCTCCAAGGCAGCCTACAAGCGTCGAGTCGGACGAGTGTCTGGCACCGCGAATTTCCACCAACCCTACTTTTATTTGCCTCCCACCAATTGTGCATTTGTACCTCGGCGCTCGTTATTATTGAGCCCCGCGTACGCTGACGTCAAAGTTCTCACACGCTCGCTCGTTTCATTCTCTCCTTCTTCCACCTGCAATGTTTATGTTTGATACTTTTATTCGCTGTCCCATCACCGCAGCATCAAACAGAAAAAAAAAACTAGCAATGTTTATTACGCTGGCACCATTGCCGCCTTTGGCAAACTTCAAAAGAGCTTTAAGGCCATTATTAAAGTGCGTGGTTTCTGCTTGGGAAACTCCATTAGGCTGAGAATGTGTGCAGCTCTATAAAATTAAATATTATACAATTTTCTTAATTCATTATTTATAATTAGTTCTTTGTGCTACTCAGGTTGAATTTTTGTTTCTTAATATTATTGTCATTCATTTCATAATCATTTGTCCAAAGTCCAAAACTTAAAACATTGAAGGAAAAACCGTTGTTTGGTAGGGAAACATGATCATAGAATTTTTATCAGAAAAACTATAGAAAGACGAGCAGCAATGAGTTATTGCTAAAACATTTAAAATAAAACCCTGCACGTTCTTTAGAATCTTTTCCTCAAGTAATATTAAGTAATTTATTGTTTAGAAAAAGAAATTGTACTTATTTTATTAAATTGTCTATATTTAACTTGATTATTTTATTATATAATTTTTTAATGTATTATCAGACATTTTAAATTTTGAAGCAATAATAATTATTGTTTTTTATTAAAATTTGTTTGTTACAACATTTTTACTTTAAATAGTATATCATATATCTTTTAAATTTTATAAGCGTTTTATTTCATTTAACAAAGTTCAAATTGGTATTTTTTTTATTAATTAATAAAAATTTAAAATAATACTTTTTATATTGTTTTTAAAAATAATATATAACCTTTAAAGGGTTATGCATTATATCATTTAAATCATGTTGATGTGTATCAATTCACTTCATGCTTCTTAGTTTGCTTTTTATATGTTTATTTAAAATTTGGTTGATTCTCTTATTAATAATTTTAATTCATGCCATTAAAATCGATTAAAATAATAACGCTGGTGTCCAAAATTAATCAAATGTCTCAAATTTTATACGTTGTGCTGCTATTTGTATTGTGTTAGAATATCGATCTCAACCGCGGAAATCACTTTCCGAAATACTATCTCATTGTCAGCGAAAGTGAACGCCGAAAATAAGAGATCCGATAAAAATTTCAATGCCAGCGTACAGCTTGCTTGTTCCGCAAAGACCGCAAAGTGTAATGTTAAATGTATCTTTATAGCAGGAACTGCACGATCGCCATTAATTAAAGTGTGCATTAAATGCGCGACTTAACAATCAAAAGAGATCAGGAAAAAAATGTTGTACGAGAGCGCTGGACCAGCGGCGCCCAGCATGTGGGGCAAATTCATCTCGTCGGCCTTGTCTGCTCCACTTTAAATGAGAAGCAGCTCATTAACGCTTGTCATTCCTTGTGAAAAATAATTCCCATAAAAGTGAAATTTATGGTTAACCGAGTAAAAATTAACTTTACTTCACCAGGCAGGAAGTTATTGCAAATGCTGAGCGTGTTGATGAAGATGTACAGCCTCGAAAAAAAAACCACGGAAAGGTTATTGTCACGACCACCTCTTGACATTCAGGCCAAATTCAGCCAGAAACCAGGTGGGTTCTTGATTGAAAACTTTGCTGGCAAGTGACGCGCCTTTGTCACGGCTTGATTGGCGCGGAGGTCAAGTTCGCAAGGTCCGAGAGAACAATCAGTGCGCGCACCGGACCTTTTGTTCCTCGTTCGTTCGTGTCACATCTTCATTAAATAATTAAACAATTGCAATTATCCGTACTGAATAAGTAAGCCATGCGTGATGTTTTGAAGTTTGCAAATAATAAAATGCAGCGGCCGAGGTGCATAATAATTAAAACTGTGACTGCACTTGAAACAGAAGTGCGTCTTTTGATATGCTGAGAAACACAATCGTTTTCTTTTCTTTCTTTTAGAAATCGTCGATGTTTGAAAGATTTAAAAGAAATTAAATATGATACACGGAATTTATATTATTTTGTGAAGCATCAAATATCAAATACCTTTTTGTTTTTGGTTGTAAACAATTTTCAAGATTAAAGAGTAAAGGGGAAGTTTTTAAATTAAAACTTATTTCGCTAGCTAGCGTTGGAATTTGTTTGTTTCGTCTAAATTCAAGACATTGCATTAAAACAAAAAAATATAAATATTAATAGAATTGCTAAAATGTTCAATAAATAAAAACAAATGCTTTAAAACCAATATTTCCATATTTTTTTCCTCAAAAAGACAATGCACATTTTAAATAAAGGAACTGATTTTAAACAAAATTATACAAATTTATTCTTTTCTGAAAGAGAAAAATTTGCATATTGTGCATGTACCTAATTTGCATAAATCAATAAAAAATAAAAACAGTTCTGAATTTTTAACCAACATTTTTCCTTTCAATGTATAGGGTAGAGATGACATAATTCCAAGTGGAACAAATTTAATAATTCATGCATAAAGAAAAATTACTGAACAATCAGCAGGTGCGGTAAAGAAGTGGTCAGACGAGAGTTTGATCGTTGCTTTTATACAAGTCTGACCTGTGCAAACAAATAATGAAGTGCCTGTGACTGCTTTTCACATGATGTCAATGGGTCAATGATTCACGCATTAGGTATTTTGTTTTATAGCCCAATCTGGTTCTGATCCGAAAAACCAGAAAGTGTTGGGCATTTCATAAAAAATTCTAGATAATTCCAGCTATAAAATTTATACACCTTTCTAATTTCTTAAGTAAACAAGGAAAACCGAGAGTAAAAATAAATGTCATTAGCTTTTAATCGGTCAACAAGGAAAAGTGAGTTAATTTAAAATTGCTTTTAATAGTTTAACGTTTATCTGTTATAAAATTAAAAAGATTCCATTAGAGAGACGTATTATTGTTAGAAATGATCGCAATAATTTCACTGAAAAATAAGAACAAACTCATTTTTCAGTTTGTATATATTCTTTGATTCATCTTTATATTCTGAAAGTATGAATAAAATTTTCATTTTCTTTTAATCTTTAATCTGCTGGGAGAGTTATAAACTGTTATTATTTTTTGTTAAATTTTGAGCATCAAAAATAATTGTTATGACTCGGTGCATTTTATTAACTTTTTCGTATAAAAACTGCTGGAAAATTTTTTCGTCATGAATATTTAGTAAAGGTCAAGGGTGGAGATTTTTTTTCGGAAATTCCTATCCAATAGATATGGGAAATGCCTGGAGAAATATCAGATATAATTCAAAACACTCAAAACAGAAACTTGCTGGGGGATCCCAATGGACCCTGGTGAACAAGTTTTCCAAACTCGTTGCTTCGCTGGATCGGTTTTCCCCGGCGCTGCTGAGCGCTCAGGTCACAGATTGGCTGTAATGGGCGCGCGCGAGAATAAATTACTCGGTGCCTCTTTCTGCAGGATAGACTTTTGAAGAGGCGCGTAGCAAAAACGCTCTCAGCTTGACTAAATATAGTAGAGGAGCCGAAGAAAACGGTGGAATGAGAGAAACAATGCGGAGGCGTCGTGGCAAAAAAAAAAATCATACATCTTTTCACGCTCATGAGCGCGTGCAGAACAAAGGAAATGCTTGTTTCAGAGACGCGCAAGTGAACGCCGAGAGTAATCGCGTCTCTAACCCGCCGATCTCGTTAAGCATGAAGGTCACGGAGCGCGACAAATTTCACGTTGAGTAACTTTGCTAATTACGCATTGCGCCGCAGATTTTTGGCAAAATTCAACAGAAAATTTAGAAAGTTGCGTGTTTTTTCAATTATCGTTGATTTGCGAGGTGCTTTTGTTTGCCGTAGTAATACCGATTGCCATTGACGCGGTAATTAAGATCACAATGAGCTCATTATAACAATATACGTAATATATGTGACGAATAGTTTTCTAGCAAAACAATGTGTAATTAGTCGTGTGCGTTCGTAAACGTCATTTGTTAGACGGATGCTAATTTTTAAATTCCCAAAACTTTAAAAATAGAAAATTAATTTGGAGAAATTTTAATCTATTTGCTTGTGTATTATTTATTATATTTTTCTTAGATTGGATTCACAATATATTTAAATTAATATTAAAATATAGGGAAATAAATGGAAAAAGATCGAAAAATTTTAGCGTTCGCCTTTTGAACAAAGTTTAAGTATATTTTAATTTTAATTTAGGAACTCAGTTAAATTTCAATTTGTTTATTTTTCCCCAAATAAGTCAGAACAACAAATTGTAAAAAAATGGATGGGAGAAAAATAGCTACTTTTTTAAATTTATAGGAATCAGAAATTGCGTTGAATTTTAAAGTAAATTGTATGTTTGATTTTATAATTCTAATATTTGAAGCAATTTGAATTTAAACGCTAAACATGGTTAGTTCCGTTGGTTTAACAGAACTGCAAATATCCTACAACTCAATAACTACTGCGCATTATAAAATAGTTCACACAACAATAATAATCTCCTCATACAAGCTCGCAAATTGTTTTAACTTCTCCCAAGACTTCCCATCCACAAGTTTGAGGAAAAATGAATATATTTTGCAATTGCTTTGTAAATTTTCAAGGTACTAATTTAAGAATTAGCTTCCATTTGAAAGGAATACAGATTTATTGATTTACAAATTACCTTCATGGCTAACTAGCTTTGTTCTTTGCTTGGTTTCTGGCTTTCATTTGCCTGTAGGCGTCGACTGCAGCCACCCTCTGAGCCTCGAGCCGTATCTTCTCCGCAAATCCTTTTTCATTTTTCTTCTTCTTTTTACCGACCTTGGCGCCATCAGTTTTCAATTTTCTATCGAACACTGATAACATTTCCACTTTCTCTTCACTGCCAAACATTCCCTTCAAGAGAAGGTCCCTTTTTCCAGGCTGAAATAAAAAATTAATTAATTATTATTAATTGTTTACTTTCGAAACTAACCTTTCCGGTTTCTTCAGCCCTTCTGGGCAAAGTTGTGAGTTTGGGAGGTTCGTGAGCAACTTCGCCGAATTCAACTTTGTCCTTGTACTTGGCAAATTCGTCATCGACCTTCACCGTCTTCTTCAACTGCTTTTTCTCTTTCAACTTTTGCAACCTAGCCTTTTTCTTTTCCATAGACTGGGCGCTGGCTTTCCTAGTTTTGTTGTGAGGCGTCAAATCTTTCAGGAACTTGGCATCGGCAATGCTCAATTTGTCTACTGATTCGATTCGACCAGTGTCTGCATTTCGCTGAACTTCAACATCAAATTTGTCTTCAAACTTGGATTCATGAATAACTTCCTAAATATGATTTGAATATAAAATTGATTCATAAATTTATGTATATTTTTTAAACCTGGCATTTCCTCTGAATTCTCCGCAAGAAGGCGTTTCCATCCTCGCCAGGCATCTGCTTGAAATTGTGGATCGGCTTTTCTTTCCTTTTCATGCCTGGGATTTTTATTTCTTTGCTCGCAAATACGGCGGTGTCGATCAACCCATCAGACTTGGTTTTGGTCTTCTTCTTGGGAACCCTGTTTTTCACCTTCTCGATCTGAGACTTCAACTCCAAAATTCTCCTAGGAATAAACTGGTCGTCAGCCGACGACGGTGGGTTGTTGACCTTATCCTTGATGCTGTAATTAATAAACATAATTATAAATTACATTGAGAAGTAGAAAATTAAATAAGAAAGAATTGTTGAACCTTGCAAATCGAGCAGCCGCTTGTTTCTCTGGGTCTTTCACACCCCTGTGTTTGCGAGTGGGAATTTTTCTCTTCACCATTTTTAAATTCTTGTTCGTATCAGATAAATAAATTAATAATAATTAACTTTAAAAATTCAGAAACAATTAATTTGTTGAGTATGAAAATAATCAAACTCGGCTCACACGAAAACAAATCACACGTGTTTCAATAACAGGGAAAACACCACCTGATACGCAAGTTGTGCAACCAAATATATTAATGTAAATCTTTTTCAAAAAAGGATAAGTTGAGAAAATAACCCCAGAAGATATTTATTTATCATTGAAGTTTTATATAATAAATAAAAATAATTATTTGATGACGTTTTTATAGAAAATAATTGCAAACAATGCTTTGTGTTATTACTGTTATGTTGGCATTGCAGGTTTCTGTCTGGAATCGAAAACAAGCAAACGGCTCAACACGTGCACGTGGTTTATCTTCAAATAATTTCTCTTTTTGCGACTGAATTATACTTTATCGTTCACACATTCTTCAAAAATGAAGGTCAGGAAGTCGATGACCAAGCCCCGGACCAGTCTGGTTTCGAAAAAGCCCAAAAGTCCGAAGCTGACTGAAAAAGTTGCCAAGAAAAGCAAGAAAGTGAAAAACGCCAGCGGTGTCGTTTATCCTCCCGAAAACCTAATCAAGCCGGATTTGCAGCAAGAAATCGTGAGTCTCGTTTGATAATTATGTTTTCCGGATGCTAAATTAATTAAACCTCGTCATCAGGTGGAGAAGGCGGCGGAAAGTTTGCTCAAACTTCACGCAAAGAGCTTGGGGGACAAAGTCAATTTGCTCGGCGGAAATGAGGGAGAACCCATTTTCCTCAACTTTTCCCAATACAGAATGTTGGACGGTCCATCTAGAATCCTGCGAATGTAAGATGCTGTAAAAAAAGTTGAAATTTAACAATAAATTTTTGTATTTAGGGACTTGCCTCACTCGCTCTTGGAGGAGACGAGCGACGTGGCCCTCATTGTGCCCGACTTGGAGCACAAGACGAAAAACCCTGACAACGAGGCAGTCGCCCAGTTGTACGAAAGCAGATTGAGGGCGCGTGGATTGAAGCAGCGCATTCAGGTTTGATAGCATCTCCTTTTTTAAATAATTAATTATAAAATATTGCTTATTCAGATCATCACCCTGCGACAAATCATGACCGAATACAAAACCTATGAGTCCAAACGAAAGCTGTGCAACTCATTTGACTTGTTCCTCGCTGATGGAAGAATCATTGGTAGATTGGTTCCTCTTCTGGGAAAGCATTTCCAAACAGCCAAAAAGTTAGCATTTCTTGATTTGTTAGATTTTTTTAATCAAAATTTGTACCATTCAGGAATCCTTTCCCTGTCAGAACTCAACCCATTGCGACGTTAGTGACTTCAATTCATAAAGCCATGAGCAAGACGATGATGCCTTTGAACTCCAAAGGCAATTCAAGGACAACTAGGGTTAGTTCATTTGAAATGTTCATCTTGCGACAAGAGATTAAACGTATTTTGTAAAATTTAGATTGGCCACACCAACATGGAACCTTCACAGATTGCTGAAAATGCCATCGAGGCAACTAAAGCTATCTGCAAAGAATTACCAGGAGGTTGGCCCAACATTCGGAATATGCATCTCATTAGTTTGAGGACCCCCTCGGTGCCCTTCTACATGTCGATCAGTAAGAAAATTATTTTTATTCAAAATAAAAGTAATATTTCTCAAAACTCTTATAATTTGAGATCTGTTTTAATCCCATCTTTAAAAATTAAAATAATTTTTCAGAAAATCCAAATGAGATCAAGATAACAAGCACTAGGAAAATTGTGAAGCATGACAGGCCAGTGGAGGGCGAACTGACCACCACAGTCTTGGACAACTTCCGAGTCCGAGTGATGCCGGATGGCGAAGTTGAGATGATCGACGACGAGGGCAAAATTTTGTCCAAGAAGAGAAAGTTGGAGGCCATGAAGGACTTGGGCATGGAAAGAAAGAGGAAGTACGCAGCTGCGGACGCTGTTTTGCTTGCTTCTGAAGAGGGAGACAAAGACGAGGAGGATGAGAACGTCGTAAGAGTTGTGCCCAAGTTTGAAGATGCTGACATGGATGCCGAATTTGAGGATGACGATGTGGAAGATGAATTGGAGGAGGAAATTAAAGCGGTATAAATTAATTTTAAATTATTTGAAACCAATAAACAATTTAAATTTGAGTATAATCGATAAAGTAGGTCTTTTTTTCATTGAATTATGTATATAAACTTTCTTTACTTCCTTTAATCTTTGATTGATTTTTTCAAAATGGAAAATAATCAATAATTTCAAATGTTTTCACAGGCAAGCAAAGGAAAGGGATCGAAAAGGAAGAAGAAAGAAGTTGTCGAGAACAGTGATGAAGAGGAGGAGCAAGCTGTTCGTGGTTACGAGGATGCTTATTTGAATGAACTGGAACTTGAGACAAAAGTATTTTGCTTCATATTTATCATATTGGCTAATCTTACGCTAAATTAATTTTAGGAAAAGGCAAAGAAGGCTAAGAAAAATGCCAGAAAGGAACCAACAGAAGAAGTGAAACCCAAAAAGAAGGGCAAGAAAAATGTCAAAGTGGAAACAATGGAAGAAGTGAGACCCAAAAGGAAGGGCAAGAAAATTGTCGGAAAGGAAACGACACAAGAAGTGAAACCTAAAAGGAAGGCTGCGTCAAAGAAGGAAGATGCGCAGCAAATAAACACCAAGAAAGATGCCTCAAAAGAAAAAGCAGAGAAGAAAGGTAAGAAGATGGCCACACCGAAAGCTTCCGAAGCACCCAAAAAGAAAAAGAAGTAGATTTTAATCAATTATTTTGTTTGGAATATAAATGAGGCATTTATAAATAAAAAACAATCATGTTGCTTACTCAACATGTAAATTTTATTTTGAGCACTTCATCCGAGGGAGAAAAATATTGATTCAATATCATTGCAACACACTCTAGATTTGTCTGGTTCACAGCAAATTATATTCAAAACTCCGGGTCGCAGCTTTCATGTGTGTGTGAACGTAAAATTTGTGTTATAAAATGGCAGTATTTGAGGTCGTACTTCTTATTCCTATTAAGGTTTATTGTAGTTAAAAATTACGAAAACAGTCACCACGGCTTTTTAAAGATTATTCACCTTCATTATTTCATATATTCAAACCAACAAGGAAGCAATCAACGTTGCCTCTCATCACAATCAATTGTCAACAAATGCACAAGTTTATTTAGTTTGATATTTTAGGTGCTATTGATAAACAACATTTATTAAAACTTCTTTAGTTGCCTTGGATGAAAACCTCCCGAAACTTTGGAAAACATTGTATATAATATTTATGTAAATTTTCTTTCAAGTCTGGATTGCCCCAGCAGTTTTAAACATTAAATACGCCAAACTTAATTTTTTTTCAAACTCTCGTCACACAAAATGCAGATAATATTTTTCTCTTTCACCAACATTTCATAGAAAACGGTTAAATTACAGTTCTTCTTTTGTCAGTTTTTTCGAGTTCTTCGTTTTAAATCTATTTAGAAGCACACTGATCACACTGGAGTTGTTTTCCTGAGGGTGCCATAGTTGGGGTACTCGATCGTGTCCAGAGCAATGTCACTCCGGGCGGGCGTCTGGTGGTGCAGCGGAGGCGGCGGCGCCGGAGGCTCGAACGAGACGAACTCGTGCTGTCCAAAATCACAGTTGATGTCAGCCGTCGTGGAGACTGTGTTGCACGTGTTTTCCCTGGAAATGGGCTCCATGCTGAGACAGGGGCACGCGTCGCGCACCAGGCCGTCCCCTCCGTGGTCCCTGTGGATGGCAGTCAGGGTCCCTTGCGATCTGCACCGTAAACTCACCTGGAAAAGAATAAACAAGAATAATTATTTTATACTTAGTCAGTTGAAAAAGTTTCTGGTAAATTTGATTTTGAGCAAGTCTTTTATACTGTCATTTTTTTTATAAATTCTAATTAAAATTATGGAGATTTTTGTATAAATATAGGCTCTGACCATACAAAGAGAAAAATACTTTCATATTAAAGTTAATTTGATTAATTTATTAAAAAAAGACCTGCCTGCTTTTCTGAATAAATGTTCAAACTATTTTATAAAAATTATAAAAAGATGTAGGAAACTATAATAATGACTTAAAATTTAAACTATGTTACTTTAACTTTTGATAATAAATTAATGCTCTACTTTAAAATTAATAATAATCTAAATAAATGTAGCAAATAGTAAAAAAATAAACAAAGCATGGCTGGTATAAAATTAATAAAAAAAATTTAGGTAAAAATTCATAATTTTTATCACAAGCCTGTGTATGTAAATAAAATTAAGTGTAATATTTAAACTTCGTAAAATTAACTTAAGAAATTTTTACCTCGCTGTCAGGGCTAGCCGTGCAGCTTCCCGAACACTCGCCCTCGTCCTCCTCAGGAAGGTAGTGCGGCGGCAGGGGCGGAACAGTCGGAGGCGGCACGTGGTGAGGCAGCGGAGGCGGCGGCGAACCGCTTCCGTAGCTGCAGCGCCGCATCAGAATAGGCCTGAGGTGCCGCTGGCAGTACGGAGGCGAAGGCGGGGGCGGCACTCCGTGGGGCGGCGGAGGCGGCATGGCCGGCGGGGGCCGCGCGTGGCTTTTGTGGCGCCAGTCGCGTTGGTGCCAGTAAATGTAGAGGAAGACGGCGCACGTGCCGGCGCCCTCGGTCGCCACGAAGCCCAGCACCACCAGCAGGAAACTCAAGCCGTAGCTGTAGGTGAACATCGGCGGCTGCAGCTGCGAGCGCGGCCGCAACTTGCTGCCGATCTCCGCCTTGAACACTGAGATGTACATCACCAGGCCAGTCAGCATCAGCAGACCTGTCAATCGAAAAAAATTTTAAAAACAATTAATAACTTAATAAAATAAAAAAACTCAATGATAAAAGAGATAAAAAAAGGATATTTAACAGTGTGAGGAGATTAAATTATATAAGTGATATTAAATTTAGCTGATTTTTCATTAGTGCATGTATATTTTCTAAAGCAAACTTTTACTCTAAGTTAAAAATTTTCACCAATCAGTTTTTTCCATTGAAATTAAGAAAAAAAGCGTTACAAAATTTCATCAAGCACAAATTTCATTGATTTAAAAAAAAATGAATCGTTGAATAAAATGGCACAACTCACTTGTTGTTATTTTCACACGATGAATTGTTTGTGTCAATTTTTTATCAAAGTTGTTTTGTTTTAGTAAGATTTAAGATATTGGGTGAAATCTAAGAGAATTTTATTCATTATATTAAAAACCCTCTTTTCTCTCTCTCTCTCTCTCTCTCTCTCATGCGAAATGAAATCTCTAAATAAAATAAATTTTGTGGGGTGAGAATAAACACATTTTTAAACCTATCAGTAAATTTCAAGAGTTATTCTATTCTAATAATCGTTCCCACATATATTTTTACCTGATATGATAAAAATGAGCCCCGAAAGGAAGGTGAAGATGCGTTTGTGTCTAGCCAAGTGTCCGGCAAGACAGAATATTACTGCGAGGACCAACAGGATGGACGACACGATGAAAAAGACCGCTGATTTCGTGATTGCATCTGCAAATAAATATAAAATTACATAAATTAATAAACATAAATGCAATATTCTAAATACTAAGCATATAAATATAATAGGGGAAAATATTTGTGTTGATAAATTCCAAACTGCAAATTTTCATAATATACGAGTTGGTTGAATAGTTTAGGAGATACATAACATAATTATACCATAATAATTTGTTACTATTTTGCAAGCCATAAGCTCATTATATAATAATTAATTTGAAAGAACAATTAATTTTCTTTAAAAAATATTTAATAATTGTTAAAATGAAAAGGAAAGTTGAATTGCAAGTTGTAACTCAATACGTATTCAGTCTTACAAGCAGAATAATTTTCTTCTCGTTTGCTTTTACATAACAGAAGTGGCTTATTTATAAAACTGCATTATTGCGGTTTATATAATAATTATTTGCTATTATCATTATTTCAAACTTCACTCATTTGCTAAAAAATTAAGCTGCATTTTTCAGTCTGATGAATCGTTATAAGCTGACTTAAATATAGAGAGCGATTTTGATCGGTTTTAAACAGCAGTTTAATGCGTATAAAATCACAAAATGCGTGTTGCTTATAATCCTGGCTTTGTGGCAAACGTTCGTCGTGTCGCGCGATCACGATGCCGCTCTTCACGCCTCACCAGTCTGACGAACAATAGAGGCCGAGACTGGCGGATGATGTGTGCTCTCGGGTGACACACGAGCAACGCTTTGCCCCACATATAGATCGGCCCTTGTATAATCGCAACTCTATGTGTTGACACATTGTGCATGTATTCAGGGAGGCTGAGCAGTTCAGGTGTGACATCAGTATGCACTCAGCGAAACACATTAGCCAGTTAATGAGACCCGACAGCGAATTACTTATCTCCAGAATTTGCAACAGGAATTAAGAGCCTCGCCGAAGTTTCAAATCGAATTTCAATTAAGCTAGAAATTTAAAAAAATTAAATCTTGCTATTTTCACTACACACTTTAAATTAAAATATTGATATAGATTGAATATTTATTATTGTAATCTGAAAATTTAATTTTTTTTTAATATTTTGTTTACAAGGGAAATCCGCTTTTCAAAATCATGGCTCTTTTCCTTTTTTCATCAATTTCGTGTTAGCAAGGAATGAAATTTCTATTATTTAAATGTGATTTAAATTAAACCAAATTTTATTCCATTTTAATCACTTTATTTGCATTCAATGAGAATTGCCAACACACAATTCAAATTTTCAATTAAACAAACGCATTAAGTGGTTTGTCAGTGAAGCTGACTTTTCGGACGCATATTTTGGTTTGTATTTTAGGTGTGCAAAAACGCGAGCTGGGGATGTTAAAATCACCACCTGCTGACAAGCCCGTAAAAGCGGCAAAGTGAGTCTGGCTGGCTCGCGTAATTACGCATTCCGTGACAAACAGCCCGCGAAACATCAGGAGTAATAAAGTGGATTGCGAACGGCGTTGTAAATTGAGCTGCGCGCGTAAAAGAGCGGTCGTTAAGTTGAAAAATATGTCCGTGTATTATGTGCAGGGTAAATAGCAATCAATAAATAAAAGACTAATGCCTCCCTCTTTATTGCGGCTCTAAAATTATATGGTAATGGCGCAGCATGGACTAACTAAAGCGTCGGCCTGTCTCGTCACGTAAATGTTCCCTTAAGGGGACCTCGAATTGACAAGAAAAATATTTGCTGACGACGCTTATGAGAAATTTACTAATCAGAACTCGATAATTGATTTTGCCCAGAATTATTATTAAATTATTATAGTTAGTCAACCTAGCAATGTGAGAATGGTGTTTTTATACTAGGATAGTTTCAGAAATTTAGTTCATTCAAAAAAAGGAATAAAGATTTTAGATAATAGTTTCTAATTTTGAGCAATGTGATTGATAATTTTTGTAAATTTCTGAAAATACAAATATAAATTGCCAACGAAAAACTGGCTTCAATCTCTAGCAAACCCTGCTCATCAGCTCTGTTATGTTGGCCAAAAAAAAGATGTCTACCTCCCAGAGCCATAAGGCCCCATGTCTCTGACGGCTGCTGTGTACCAACATAATTTCGGGACGAGCAGGGTTTGATCTCTAGATTAGAGTTTAATATATATCATGTGATTTATTTTTCGAAATACAGTTTTTTTTTCTTCCAAAAAATTGACAAACGTTTTTGTTTTCCACCGTTCAATTATCCAAAATTTGGTGAGATTTTTCAATTTCAATTAAATTTGACAGCCCTCAAATATATAAATAGCAAAATACTTTGGGTTTGCATACATTTCTCTCTCCAAATTTTTACTTTTACTTAATTTTTTTACTTAAATTTTTTTTAATTCAGCGTTTAATCAATGCAAAAAATAAATAACGCAATATTTTCATACTACAAATCAACAGAATATTTTTTTTAAATTATCAAAAGAAAAACATATGTTTTTACGTAATGATTTTCTTTTGAATAATTTGAACTATAATATGATCAATATTTCTGGTTATTTAATTTTGGACCAATATATATTTCCAATCAATACCAACGACACTCCCCTTAATTTCCAATTTCGATCTATTTCTGATTGTGCATCACTGAAATCTCCCCAACCGCGTATGCTCGTCGCAGATTGAATTCTGGCTCGAAATTTTACGGCCGTGCCGAAAATCATCTTCTCGTGTCCCAGCGAAAAAGGCGCCCGAAACGGCGCGAGAGGAAATCCGTCTTTTATTGGGCCGTGTCACGTTATGAGGATTATAACGCACTCCCAAACCAAACATCATTTTCTTTGTGCCATTTACTTCTTTTGCTCTTGGGCTTCTCTCTCTGTCTCTCTTGCTTTTATAACTCATCGGATTTACCAATTTTATTTCTGTCCAAATATTACAGCCCGGGGCGTTTTTTTCCCTTCTTTTTCTCTCCGCTGGCGAGAAGGAAAACTCATCTCGCCCGCTGATGTTGATATTGCGAACCGTCCGCAATGTCATCACAGATTTTCGCGATATATACACCGAGTGGGAGAAGAGAGAGTGAAATGCCCACGCAAACAAGTGGAAATTTCAACCTCTCCCGAACAGCTTTTTTTATCACTCGGTTTGAAAATGAATTTCGGCTGAATGGCAGGCAAATAAGATTTTAATTAGTAAAATATACCTGTTGCTTTCGTAATCTTTGAAAATTTGTCTGTTACTCGAAGGATAAAATATTGCAAGAAGAGGCAATTTATTTAAAAGCTAACAATTTTTTGGTAAATTACATTAATTATATGTATTTTAACAGTGAAAATTAATATAATTAAAATTAGTGATTTCTTAAGGCCTTATTTATTTGCATCATTTCTAATATTTCTCATATATCACAGCCATATGAGGAAATTATCAAACTGACTAACAATTTTATTGCTCATGCACAATTTCATTTCTATTTTTGAATCTTAGGTTAGGGGTATGACAATTTTGAATTATTTAAATAAATCTTTAATACAATTAACTGTAAGAAAAAGATAAACTTTAAACTAAAATTTGCAATATATTTAAAATAAAACAAAAAATAAAATAAAAAATAAAATTAAAGTCACAAAAAATTTAAATGTTTTAAAGTTTTATTTTAAAATGAAAAAACATAACGTAAAACTATAATTATTTTTTATTTATGCTTTAAAATATAAAAGTTATTTCTAAAATGTCATTATTATTTTCATGCCTGCCGGTCGCGACCCTGTCCTGACTTGTTCGCTCTCGTCTTGGAGCAGCAGCAGCCACCGCCAGGCGCCAGCACGATGGAGGGAGAGAGCCACGTGTGCAGTGCAATGATAGCAAAAGTCGCGTCTTCAATGCCCATTGCCTCGGTGGTCCAAATCTCGCCGAATTTCGAATTTGGGCCGACGGAGGACTTCGCCGACCTGCCGAGGACCCCAACCGGACCAAGGACATTGGCCATGCACCCAAGGTAGGATAAAACCACGTATCTAATTTTCATTTCTTCCATTTGCCATGTCGCCCGCTGGCACAAGTCTCAAGCTTCAGCCTGCCGAGGCTGCCGAGATTACGTTTCTCCGATTTGAAATTTGACTGGGCAAACAGAGAGTCCAATGCCGTTTTTGTTTGTTTTTAAATGGCCACAATTGAGCCGATACGAGAATTACGAGCTTTGAATTTTCGGTCACCTGGAAAATATGACATGACATGTGCTGTTTGGACTGCGACTGCTTTATAACCGAATGCGTTGAAACACCACAAAAATTTGACTCGAAGCGGCTTTTTGGAGTTCAAATGTTTTTACATGATATTATTAAATTAATTTGTAAATGTTAATTTTTTTTAAAAATCTGTTTTTGTTTTGAAAATTTATGTAAGAATTTTTAAGTCTCTATGCGAGATCGTTTAAAAAGTCAACTTTCTAAATTAAAAAAAATATTTATTTTAGTTAAAAAAATTATATCTGATCTGAAACATTTTCCAACTAACAAAATTAAAAGAACTGAATTAACATAAAAGTTTTTTTTTAAATATTGAATTTCTATGATTAATTAAGAGCTCAATCAAGGATAAAAGTTCACTATTCAACTGGCAGCAATTTCGAAAAACGTTGCTTCCATTTTTTGCCTTTACCCTTTACTCGTGTTTCCTTCTCGGGCAGAGCGAGATGAAAGAAAAATGAACTGCGGGGGGTGCGGGGCGGATACAAATGAATTTGTTTGCCCGGCGCCGACGTGCCCAAGCTCAAAAGTCGTCGCTTGATATGCGTCGGCCGTCCCCGCAGATAGATAGGGTGGAATTTGCGCGCACAGCGGTGGCGACGACGCTCCACGCTTTCTCTCGCCACAAAGCACAGCAACAATTCGCGGGCCTGCAAAAGCCGCCCGTGGCGAAACGAGGTCCGAATGCCGACCGTGCCAATTTGCGTTCACCTTTGACGGCGCCGCGCGTCATAATGACTTTTGCCCCCGCCAAAGCACAACAACGACGAAATTCGACCCGAGAGAAGAGCCGCAAACTAAATCAATATTATCAGAGACTGGTGAAAAAATTAGTTTTTTTTCTTTTTTAATTAGAATTAAAATACGTCTTTAAAAATGCAGGACTAGCGATTTTAGTAACTTCGATTCAAAGTACAAGAGACTATAATAAAAGATAAGACTTTGTTTTCAAAGCTTAATTTTAAGTTTGTTTGAAGAAGTTGACACACTCGAGGAGATGATCATGGAAATGAAGCGATCGGGCTTTTCCTTGTTGCAAAAAATTGGTTTTATTCAAAAATAAATGGCTCAAATTTTATTCATTTTGAATAAAGACAATTTTCTGCAACGAGGAAAAGCCCGAACGCTTCAATTCCTTAATTTTAAGTATCGTCAGGACTGTTTTAAGACTTTTTTACACTTTCAGACTAATTCGAGAATATTTATGGACTTTTGTCTTCACATTTGAATTAAAAATTAGAAAGTTTATCTTTATAGCACCAAAATAATAATTATAATTTGTCAAACTTTCATCGTAAACTACAGAAATCCCCAGGCAATTGGTTTTTTCTAAAACAATATATTAATTGTTATTCAAATATAAGTTCATTGCGGCTGTCTTTGAAAATATTAGAACGCAATGAAATTGAATTGAATGAAGAATTTAATTAAATTTTACTTCTACTATGGATAGAATAAGCTTGCTAAAAAAATCTGAAACTTGAAACTGATATTTGAACCTCTGGGGGAAAATTTTTATCTTTTTAACTTTCTTTAGAGGTTAAAAAAGGACATTCACAAAAATATGTTATGAATTTAAGATTATTTATGTGCAAGGAAATATTTATTGGGTTAGAATTTAGGGAATTTATTAAATGAATCTGTTTTAAATTTCTAGACTAAAACTAACTTGAATTTCCATATTTTTTGTTGAAAAATTTAAAAAAGAAATTTAAATCGTCATTGTTTGTTGATTATATTTAATGGTAGTAACAAGTAGCAAAGCAGAGTTTTTTTTTTAATGAAACACAAATATAAATAATGCGCATTTTGTTGAGAAATCATATTTCTGTTAATTGAGAAGAAAGTTCTTTTTTTTTTAAATTATAAAAGAATCTGTTTATTCATTTTTCCTTTCACTAATATTTGAGCCTAACAAAGTTGTCTCTTTTTGAAAAAAGAGAATTTTCACCAGCCTTCTCATTACATTGGCGCCGAATAACAGGCCGGGGTGCACTAATTGAATCGTTTCTCCTTATCACGCAGTCATTAGCGCGCGTTTTTGTGAATGGCGGTCTGAAGGTCTGAAATAGAAGTACTCACATGGAATGGCCATGGTGGAGTCGTTCGGGTCGGGGCTGTATTCCTCTCTCGGGAAATAGTCGATATTGAAGCACTGCATCTCGCGCTCCCCGGCTGCAAAAACAAACACGTTACGTTTAATTGCCTTGGCCCAATCATCTCCATTTATCTCTGCAGGCGAAAATGAGACCAAATGATCGCTTTTTGCATCGAGACTTAGTTCTTTCTTTCTGATAAATATACGAACCTTCGCTTTCAAAATTACTGCTCGTTAATCGCATCAGAATCTAGAGCATTCATTTGTCAACCTTTTAATGCAATAAAAAGCGATGCAACGGATTTGTCTTTGTAAGGTTGGATCTAAATGTTAGAAATAATCGCGAATTCTGGCATTTAAGTGGAACTCCAGCATTAAAATTAAATTTGAATTGGGTCAGAAATAAATGTTTGCATTTGCACTGAATATTAATTGAGCTATCATCGGAATACAAATGAAGAAGCGTGCAAATTCATACTTTTAGCATTCACCTGAATAAACAAGATAATTTTGTGAAATAAATATAAGTGGTTTGAGTAAATTTTTTAAATCGATAAATTTAATATATAATAAAAGAGAATTTCAATATTTCTCTGATGTAGCTTCCGGCAGATTATTTTGGCATTATATTATTTCATTTCAATTCCCCTCACATGTGACTGCTGATGTGTTGATGAAAACTTAAATCCGTGTAAATATTTTATATATCCAAATTAATAATAATCTGATATGGGAAAAAAACAATTAAAGCGCGCGTCAGTCGAGATCATAATTAAAAAACATTTTATTCATAAATAAAGCTGTATTTGAAATCTATGAATTTGGCGAGCAGATAATATCTTCAGCTCAAATATTCAGGAGAGGGAAAATATTTATGAATATGTTTCAATATTCGATTTCATAATTGTGACAAGAGATTTCCAAGAATTTCTAGATTGAAATGCCTCTTGATATGAGCGTTTTGAATTGATCCTCTGCCTTTGATTGAAGTTTGCCAAATCGACGACAGTAACTTTTAGGGCAATATTGAATTGTAAGGCGAGTTTTTACTTCATTATTATCTCTCCAAATTTGATTCATGCTGCTTTTCAATGTGATGAAATTTGGGATGTAAGAACAAATATTTAATAACTTTTTTAGGTTGTTCAGCATTTTGACCTTTAATGTACCAAAAGCATTTTTCAAACATGAATCTTTGGTGACGGCGAAACCACTTTCGTGTTGTGACAACAAAAGCTGCTAAATCAGTTTTTTTGATGGAAACTAGAATTTTTAATTTGAACTTGGTGACTCTTTTCAGAATTCAACATACAAACAAAATCCCAAAAGAACGAAAAATAATTATCCACATCACTTCAGAAAAAAGCAAAAAAACGTGTTGATTTTTGTCTGAAAAGTCCAAATTTAGAACTCGCCGACCGGCTCTGAAATTGCTTTGATTTGACTAATTAAAGGTGGGCGTTTGCGATATTTATTCCTGCGTTCGTGCACGTAGGCCGTGGCGTAAATCCAAGCAAATAAATCCTCCAGCCTTTCGTCGGCTTTTCAGCAAGAGGCAGGCAGATTTAGAGCAGATTTGCGCTGACATGGCGCGTCAACTTCACCCGGGCCAGAAAGAGGCGCGGCGGCGTCCATCACCGAGTCAGTGGCTCGGAACGGCGGCACAATAACCGCAACTGGAATCATGAACAAGCTGCTTTCGCACCCGAATTCCGTATTTATCTCTCCCTGCTCGGATTCGCAAACACACGCACCATTCCATTCGTCGCGCATTAATACACACGAATGCTCTGCACAGTTTCCCATTTGCCAGAGTTGTGCCCTCGCTCTCGGCTTGTGTTGTCTATTAATTATGGCTGCGAGATCGTGTTTGAATTAATTAAGTGGCGGCGAGGCCGCTAGAGCCGAATGCAAATTTCGCACCCTCTATGCGTGATAATTCATATGTAATTTATCAACACCACTTTATCAGCAGGCAAAAGGCCTCCTCGGCTGACATTCGCGCTCGAATGCACGCGAAATGACTTTCTCATGAGCGCAGAGACCTAATTAGAATTTCAATGAGCCCTATTAGTATAGTTTGGGTCTTATTCTCTCGACCGAGATCTCTTTTTAAACCATCATTTAGGGTTCAAAACTTCAAACACCCCTAAACGTTTATGAAAGAAAAAAAAAAGACTTTTAATTTATTTAGTTTCTGGTGAAAGTCTTTTTGATTTTTTTTTTTTTAATAATCGCTTCAAAGCCATTCAGCATGATTCCTGAGACTAAAATCGATTTTCACTGCACACAAATCTGTTGCGTAAAATTCTTTATTTTTTGTAATTTTTCAAACACAACTGTGCCTAAAACGTCGCTTTTTTTATAGGAATTTTGTTTACCAGCCAAAAAAATCATATTTACTTCGTTTTTAAGTATTTTATCCCCACACAAATTAATGATCCACTATTCTTTCAGCTGCAATTTAATAAATTTAGAATAATCAACAGGGATAAAAATCCTCAATTAATGCGGAGACTGGTCATATTTATTAAGTGTTTGTACAAAAAATAAAAAATTGTATCAGAGTTAAATGAAAAAAAAAGATTCTGATCGTCTAATTAATTTTGCGTACCATAAAATTATCATCGCGCGGCTCTTTAATTCAACATTATTTGACGACTTTGACTTTAAGTAAAACTGACAATTAAATCAAAGAAGTAAAATAATTTAGTTTTAAAACAAGATAATACAAACATAAAATTTAACAATCATTTTATTTACGATTTAATTTTAATTTAATTATGCATTATTATAATGTTGTTTTAAAATTATTATTATTATTAATTTTATTTTTTATTCATTTTTTTTATATTTTTTTGTTAATATGACAAACATTATTTAATGTGTCAACTGCGGAGAGAATTACAATATTTTTATCACATATGACAAAAATAAATATGTATTTGTAATATTACAGATGTTAGGGAAAGATGCATTCTGAATTAACGTTTAATTAATATTTCTTAAACTTTTCCTGTGATAAAATGATATAATCAATAACTATTATTATTATAAAATGCATAAGAGAAATCTATTTTAATAATCATAATAAATTAAGGTATTGTTAATTATTCAAATTTATAATACAGAATACAGTATTATTGACCAAATCATCAAATTAGAAAGAATTAGAAGAATTATAGTAAATTTTCCTGAATTAAAACCTTGAAGTAAAAATAATTCATGGGGACAAAAACAGCTGAATTTGACAAGACCGATATTGCAGAAATGTAGAGTTGAGAATTAAGTTTGTCATGTGTGTCTCATTGAGGGTGCGGTCGGGTGATGTTTCTCTCTGGGCGGCTCTTGTTCATCAAAGTTCACGTCGCTATAAGCAGTCGATGCGGATGGGAAAGCGCAGCTCGCGGCGCAAAAGAAGCAACTTTGCCCGCACCGTTTTGATCCAGCGGAGAATATCGCCGTGGGTGTTGATCTTGGAGAATTTCTCTTTGTCTTTGTTCATCGCATTGTACGGGGGCTTCGGAAATAAGAGAGACTGATGCACGCCGGGCGAGTTAAGTACGGCGGAGATGAATTCCAGTGGCGCCGCGTTTTGCGCCACCTGGCATTGTTTGCTCACCAATTATGACCAGCCTTTTGTTTCCGCCTCATTGAACTGGAGAGGGCCTACTTTATATGAGCGCCGCATCATCAGATATATATCCGAAGGTGATTATGGAATTTTAACTGCCTCTCAACACGTCAGCGTTTAACTTTCCCTTTCAAGTGCGGGCACTGAATTGCTCATTAATCAAGACTGGAGAGCGCTGATTATTGTTTCAAAACAATGGGTCATAATTGAAACAAAAATATATACCTATTTCAATTAAATTGACATTTTTAAAAGAAATCTAAAATCGATAGTGGAGTTCATTTGGAATTGCAAATTTTAACTAACATTTTGAACAAATAAAATCAATATAGCAAATGCTATTAAAATGAGCGTTTGCCAAATAATCTATAACATTTTACCAAATAGTTATAAAATTAAGTTGTTTAAATTAAGTTTGGTTAAATTAACGTCTGTTACAGTTCTTTAGACCTGCAAAATATAGCCATCGCTATAAAATTGAGCGTTCGCGAAATAATCATTAGCATTTTTCCGAGTAGTCCTAGGTTTAAATTAAGTTTTTTGAAATTATCGTCTATTGCAAATCCTTAGACCTGCAAAATATAGCCATCGCTATAAAATTGAGCGTTCGCCAAATAATCATTAGGAATTGTCCGAGTAGTCCTAGGTCTAAATTAAGTTTTCTGAAATTATCGTCTATTGCAAATCTTTAGACCTGCAAAATATAGCCATCGCTATAAAATTGAGCGTTTGCGAAATAATCATTAGCATTTTTCCGAGTAGTCCTAGGTTTAAATTAAGTTTGGTGAAATTATCGTCTATTGCAAATCTTAAGACCTGCAAAATATAGCCATCGCTATAAAATTGAGCGTTTGCGAAATAATCATTAGCATTTTTCCGAGTAGTCCTAGGTTTAAATTAAGTTTGGTGAAATTATCGTCTATTGCAAATCTTAAGACCTGCAAAATATAGCCATCGCTATAAAATTGAGCGTTCGCCAAATAATCATTAGGAATTGTCCGAGTAGTCCTAGGTCTAAATTAAGTTTTCTGAAATTATCGTCTATTGCAAATCTTTAGACCTGCAAAATATAGCCATCGCTATAAAATTGAGCGTTTGCGAAATAATCATTAGCATTTTTCCGAGTAGTCCTAGGTTTAAATTAAGTTTGGTGAAATTATCGTCTATTGCAAATCTTAAGACCTGCAAAATATAGCCATCGCTATAAAATTGAGCGTTTGCGAAATAATCATTAGCATTTTTCCGAGTAGTCCTAGGTTTAAATTAAGTTTGGTGAAATTATCGTCTATTGCAAATCTTAAGACCTGCAAAATATAGCCATCGCTATAAAATTGAGCGTTCGCCAAATAATCATTAGGAATTGTCCGAGTAGTCCTAGGTCTAAATTAAGTTTTCTGAAATTATCGTCTATTGCAAATCTTTAGACCTGCAAAATATAGCCAT